TAAGCGGTTGTTGCTTACCAACCTTCTAGTTCCTAGGTAACTTTACTAAAATATGAAATTGTTGTCTCGCAACTGAACTAATAGTGCTTTTGACCTTGATTGTCTCTTACACTTATTAATTACTGTTTTCATTTTTAGCTAAACTAATTACGTCTCGTGTAATTGCCATATTTCGACGCTATTATTAAACCAATAATTTGGCAAACTTGCAAAATATCATCGTTATTATTAGCCGTGTTGTGTCGTTTAAACTTTTTTCTTCTAATAAATTAATTAAGAAACTTATAAAATTTAATTTTAAACTAAACCGAATTATCTTTCGCTCGTTAAACTCTACAGCTTATGCATGCCTAAAATAACTCTTAACTGCACCTAAATATACGAATTATCTCGGATTTCCACCACCGAAACTCGTCAACTCCCGGTTAACCCTGATGCGAAAAGTAAAATAAACAGTCTTAATGTAGGTTATTAAAACCGAAAATAGTGCGATCAATTTTAAACAAGCGAGTTAAATTTTCACGAGAATAAATCGTCATTCATTAAATTATTTCGCGGTTTCGGTTTTATTCGCACGTGCCGGTGAAACCTTGGCCAGGTGCGAAGTTACATTTCTCATAAACCAGGATTGGCGAGCGTTCAGAAAATCGACAAAAAGACCAGAAATGCCAATTATTTGTGGTGTATGACATGTGGGGGATTTTTTTGGATTTTCTTTACGTAGACGACGTGGGCGCATGTATTTTGGTAATTTTGACGAACAGATTCATACCTTGAAGCAGTTCATGAAAAACAAGGGTTTCAAAATATTTGAACATTTATTTAAAAAAAAAATTAATGAAATAGTGTTTCATTGAGAGTTTGTTTTTTGTCTAGTTGCAGGAAAATCAAAATTAGACAAAGATAGAGAGTCGTTTAGTGGGATTTAAATAGCTTGCTAGTTTAGTTGGTGTATATTAGAGTTTCCACGAGTTCAGTCTGTTTCATGTTCGAGTTCAATGCGAAACTTATTTGTATACTATGATTTTTTTAAGTCTTGTGTTTAAATCTTTTGCCAGAATTATAAATTATAACACGTGACGTACGTTTGGGGAAGACTTCCTGTGTTTTCTAGTGTTGCACGAGTGATACACTTTCTTTTTAATCGAGAAAAATGTCTTTCCACGGTAAACAACCGGTTCCTCCTTTGAGACGTCGTTCATCTTCAGCGGTTCGAAGCAATGGAAATTCGTATAGTAACAGGCCAAGGAGTATGGGGTATTATGGGGCAAATACTGTCGGTTATACTTCTCCTTATACATCGACAAGCCCCTATTCTTCTTCATCTTACGGCAGTTATAGTTCGAATTACAAAAGTCCTTATTTTCCTAATGGTTACAGGGGAAGTTCCGGTTATGCCAGTATAACAATCCCTGCAAAGAGTCTAGCTAATATAAATCTGGTGACTCCTAATTATTCTAAAACGTACGAGAACAACAGGGATTATACAGGGCATAGGTCGCGAAGGGATTTATCGAGGACAGGGAGTTTTAATAGAGACAGGGATCGGTCTTTATCAAGATCGCATAATTCTTTAGCTGGTAGTAGTTTGGGTTCAAAGTCAATAAGTTTAAATTCTTTGACATCAGAGGGTTACATTGTACGAATTTCAACAAATTCGAGTCTTTTTACTGAGTGAGTTTCAATCATTTTCAGAGTGATAGATCGAGCAGATCCCGCTTAGGAAGCACTTCGGATATTAGAAACGAAAACGGCGAAATTGACTATAAAAAATTGTATGAACAAGCTCTCGTCGAAAACAGCGAACTTAAGGACAAATTGAAAAAGACAGACCAAGAATTGAGGGACACAAAACAGACATTGGAAAAACTCAAACTTGTGGTAAGTCTCGTCTCGCCTTCACAATTTTTTTTTGTTAATGAAAATTATTACAGACGAGTAAAAATTCGTTATCGGAATTAGAAAAACGCGAACGGAGGGCAATGGAACGAAAGTTGAGCGAGATGGAGGAGGAATTAAAGGTAGGTATTTTAATTTGTTATAATTTAATTCTTGTTTCTTCCAGCATAATGGCATTTTTTGTACCAGTATTATTTCGTAGTTTGCAGCAAGCTTTTTTGTTTTTTTGGATGATTTTTTTACGGAAATTTGACATAATTTTAGTTAACCATTTTCTAACACTAACAGATTAACAGCAACAACACCACATAAAACACAATATTATTTTTTTGCACAACAAACAACAAACAATGCACAATTTTGTGAATTATTTCGTGTCTGAACGATTATTTTTGATGACACAATGATTTTTTACTCGTAAAATTGGAGCACACCATTTTATTTTTAAATTTGGTGGTAAACGTCCTTGTGGTTGTGAGAAAAAATCGAAAATAATTAATTATAACTTTTTTTCGAGTTTTGTAATTATAAACACGTGCGAGATTTATTTTGAACATTTCAAAAATGAATATACTGAGTAACACTAGAAATGCAACACGTCATATTTGTTTTGCCTGAAAGTGTGAGTTGGCGCGAAATTCAAGTTCGACAAACTAAAATTACGGTTTGTAGGTCAATTGTAATTAAAAATTGGCAATATGACAGAATATGTTGAATTTATCGCAAATAAAAATGAAACAATTTTTTTCCTGGGTTGATTTTATTGTCGTACAAAAAATTGATGTTAAATTTCGAATGTCACTCAGTGTATTGGTGAAAAATGACTTGCAAATATTGCATGTAAAAATAAAATGCGGTATTTTTTCGGTGTAAATGAATTACTGTGTTGCTATTTTTATTCTCATCATGTGCATGTAAAACGTATAAATAGCAATCTTATTATCACGTGATACGTTTGTCTTGGGTTATTTTTGTTTTTCATTTCGTTTTTGGTTTATTTTTACGAATTTCTTGACCTGAGTCTGTCCGAAATGATTTAGCAGAGACAAGAGAATTAAATGGATTTTGTACTGTTTTGTATTAAAAAGAATCGGGTCAACGTGAAACCCAAATATTTTATAAATAAGTCGCCAAATCTAATTCCGTACCAATTGCCTAATACATAATTAATTGCTTTTCATGTGTCGCTCTAATTTTATCAGTAAATATAAAGTTTACATAGCGCTAACTCAGTATGATGGAAGCTTTGAATCTAGTTTATATTTTCAGGATTTTTTTCTCTACGTAATTAATAAAAGTTGTGTAATTGTGATTTCTTAGAGATACACGTTGTATTATTGTTTTAGCAATTGCAAAAATTGAAAGCCGAGAATGAACGTTTAAAGGCTGACAACAGGTCTCTCACACGTGTCATCACCAAACTTACCAACTCTCCAAAAAAATAGGTAAAACTCGTTAAAACGCCATGCAGCTGATTTCGCCCATTTTTTTAATGAAATTGTTTCGTGTTGTTCATTTTGTTTTCTTATTATTGTACACTTGTTTTGTGTTCAAATGTTGGATGATGGTAGAACGCATATTCACACACCTAATAACAAAAAAAAAGTTTTTCTTTCTTTTAAATTGTTAACATACTAACATACTCTCTCACATTTCCAATTTTGTGCAGTGTTTTTTGTTTTTGTAACTGATTTTGTGTTGTATGTTTGAATTTTTGAGCTTTTTCGACAGCACTCAAAACGGACATAAATCGATATTCACACGGCTTTTAATTATTCGTATGTGAGCATGAGTTTGAAACTGGAGTCGATGAGTTGTTATTAATTTGAAAATTGAATTTTTCAGCAGTTGGATATTATGAAGGTAGAAAATCAGAAGCTAAAGGACGAGAATGGAGCGCTTATTAGAGTGATTAGTAAGTTATCGAAATAGCATAAGCCTTAGAAGTTTTAATTTTCCTATTGCATTTTACACTAAATACGACTATAATTACTAGAACTTCGTAGTCCGAAGTCGTTTCCTTCCTTTTTTGTTGTAATCAAGTATTATTGTTATTTTTAATTTATTGAAAATTGTACGAAACGAATGACCACACATTTAAGTAATGTCTGTTTCAAATAGCTGTGCTAAGTAACAGTTCCTGTTGTCTAGCAACTAGCAGTGAATTTGAGGCAAATTTTACATTTTGACATTAATAAGGCATTTGTGTTGGATTGCTTGTAGTTTGCTGGTTGTGTGATATTATTTGCTTTTTATTTATTTTGACATCCATCAACTGTAGGAAAAGACATGTAACTTTTTTCTAGCATGTGTTGTGTATTAAATAAACACTTCATTTTTACTAAACGAACATGTCAATTTAAAGTATATTTTTTGTAAAACATATAAACATGTTGTATTATATAAATGTATTTAAATGTACTGTACTTTGTGAATAACTTATTATTAACAATTGTTGTGATTTTAATGTTACAAAAAATATATAAATTATTTGTTTTTTTCTCGATATTCGTTTTATAATGCTTATATTTCATGTGTTCGACATCAAATATAGGCATTATAAATTTGTTTTCCTTAGGTAATGTACAAAATCATTTTTTAACAAAAGTTTAAATTGTTAGAATCTAGTCCAAAGATAAAAAACTTGCGACAAATTTTGTTAAGCACTTTTCACCTGTTAAATGTTTTTAACTTTCAAATTATGCCATAAGGTGCTAAATATCAGTAAGTTCAAGTTTATATCAAAACTTTACATACATATGAATTTTGTCTGTGACTATAAAATTGTATTTCTTGTGAAATATACTTGGGACTGAAAAAACTATTTGATGGAATATTTTTTTCATTAACGATTACATTTGTACATACAGTTTGTTAATTTCTAGCGTTTTAACGTTTTATTTCATTGAACTTGTGCCTTGCTTCCCTTTGTATTTATTATATAAATTTTTAGTTAGTGTGTAAATTATTTCATGTATTTATTCCTTGTTTAGAGGCTGGTAGAATATCATGTGAATAGTGATTTTATAGCTGATTCTTTAATAAAATCCTGATACGAATTTGAGTTTTGTCTTCTTCATCGGAGGTAAGTAGAAAACAAGTTCTGTACACATTTGGGTTTATTTTTATAAAGCATTTTTTGGAAACTCCAAAAATTAAAATTACAACCTTGAATCTCGTTACATGAAACAGGAAGTGTCTCTTTTTGACTTAAAATGAAAATATATACAAAAAGTAACGAAAATAATTTACGAATTTCCACAACATTGCCTTGTGGGTGGTGGAGGAACTTGATCATCGTCAACAACAACCACGTTGCGTCTCTGCGAATTCTGCCTAGACAAGGGCGCATTTTGCGCTTCTTTCTCCTCAACAGTCTCCAACATTTTTTGAGTAAGAGTCAGGAACATCTCTTCTACACCTTTATTTAACTTCGCCGACGTCTGGAAATGTATCGCTCCAACTTTACTCGCGTAACTACAAAATACAATTTTGAAACGAACTTTGCAAAACTGCAACTCACGCTTCCGCATCTTCTAAACTAACATTCCTGTTTTTCTCAAGATCAGTCTTATTTCCTGCAATCACTAGACATATCTCAGCCCCCAACATCTTCCTCAATTCTTTTACCCAACTTTTGACTTTCTGAAACGAATCTTCGTCAGTGATATCGTACACCAACACTGCACCGTTTGATGATCTGTAATAAATCGGACCCAATGCGTGGAATTTCTCTTGACCTGCAGTGTCCCAAATCGCTAGGTTTATGCGTTTACTGTCTATATTCAGTTTTTTGTTGAGAAAAGAAGCCTGAAATAGAGTTTGCAAAAACTGTAAACCATTACTTAAAAATTAATACCTGGACTGTGGTTACATGATTTGTGTTGAATTTGTCCTCAACATATCTAAGTACCAAGCTAGTTTTCCCCACACAACCCTCGCCCAATAAGACAACTTTAAAATTGTGGGAAGCCCCACTAGTGTTGGCCATAATTACCAATTTTGGGTTAATTTAGTGCCGACCAACGCAAAAACTCGTAGTCACTTCAATGCGTCATTAAATATGATTGTACAAAGGCTTAAATTCGATAATTTGCTTCGAGTGGAAATTCACGAAGAAGGGTTATGAAAACAGTTCGTTGTTTAAATTTAAACTGTTGTTCCAAAAATGGGTAAAAATATCTAAACAACTGTTAGACTTTTCAGCACAATCACAATAATTCACAAATCAAAAATATTTTCGATTACATTTTCACAATCAGCTGATCGTTCTTTATGTAGGCGTGACTTGCGTACCTGTCGAAATTGATTCCCCAAAGCGCCGCTAGAGGGATTTCAAAATTTGGCAAATTTCTGGCAAAAATCACATTTTTTTCACACTTGGTTAGTCGTAAATAATCATTTTTGGGCCAAACTTTCGGTTCACATTGATCCGCTAAAGAATCAAATTGATTTAATATGTGTTTACTGGTGTAAACAATTCGGTTATAAAAGGAAACGTCATCTCAAACTCTGACGTAATACCGGAAGTCGTAGTCAAGTCAGCGACTGTTTATGTGTTTCACAGGCAAAAAACACAAATTTTGAGAAAATCTCACACTTGCCGCTTAATGTGAAAATTCAATTGCGACTTTTGCGATACAAGTTTTGTAAAATTAAGTTGGATTAAGGTGAAATCGTTTGAAATTCGCCCCGAAAGCTTTAGGTTGCGCATTGAAGTGCGCAGTGGCTCATCTGTGTTTCTAGCCGTCATCTGTGTTGTATTGGTAAGTGCACAATCACTTTTTTGCTTTAAATTTCTCAAAAATTACGTGAAAATATTGAATGACTCGTACCCGAATGGCTTAATTTAAGTCGTATCAGTCGTTGTGAATGAGTGTCATTGGAAATTATCACGTAGTTCATTTAAAATTTGCGTTTTTTCTTTGGCGTCACATCGGTGGTAGCGAGCGTTTGTTCAAAAGCACGGCTCCAACTATTGTAATCAGGTCAAATAATTGGATGTCTTTGAGCGATTTGTGGCGATTTATGCACATATGAGGGGCAAATTGGGCGAAAATGTCGACGAAACTGTAAAATTTTGGTTTTGTGGGATTGTTGTACGGTCGAGGCAAGTCGGGACGTTTGGCACGTAGGCCCGCTTTCTCTTATGCACGTGTTGGAGTGTTCCAGTTTCGGGATTGCATCGAGATGTTTTCGATTTAAGACATTATGTAATGGAAAAACTGGAGGAAAATCTGTTTGGTCTTGACACCATTTTTAAAGAAAAATAGAAAGTTTTAGGCGGATTTTCGGGGTAACAGTTGTTGGTTAAAATTCTAATGTTACGTACGCAAAAATCGACAAAATTGCTTTTGAAAATTGAGTTGAAACAGCGTCGCGTTTGTGCAATTTTTTTTTTAATTTTTGGCCCAAGTGTTAACCCTTTGTCTTGATGTGGGAGATTAGATACGAATGGGTCTGATATGAGGTTACGCCCACGGGAAATTGCGACTTTCCGTTCATTCTGAGAATGTTTTGGTAATTTGGGCCTTTAATTTTTCGATATTTTTTCCCTTGGGCCGAAAGTGCACGATGTTAAACGCATACAGTGCGTGGCCACCGACCGGCTTCTTGCGACACCACGCGTCGTGCGTCGTCCATCATGGCCGGCGTCAATGCTCCCGATAAATTTCACAGTGAAATTGTTTGTAATATAACAGAAAGTGGGAATTTTTAACTATTTTTGTGCTGAGAAAAGGAATTATGATGAATTTTTTTGTAACCTTCTGAAAATATGAAATCTTATTGGGATGCTGTTAGTAGAAGTAATCAAAAAGCTACCTCCTGCAATGTTTTAAAACAATCAATTTATTACCTTTAAAATATGTGGTAATTATTGTTTTTTCATGTGTGTAATTGGTAGTAAGACGTAGTAAACATTTTTATTGCCGTAAAAATGTAAATAAATGAAAATTGTTGTTGATTATATTTATTTAGAGTTATCAATGTTTTTGATGCAATTACAAGCAACTAAATGTTTACTTCTACTGTTTGCCGAAATTAATTTGTGTTTAATTTTTGTCACCATTTCTTATCAATTTGAGAAATGCTTATACATACTATGTTTATAATAAATGTTTTATTAAATAATTTTTTTTCGCTCCCAAAAATAATTCTTGAATAGTTGTCAATTAGTTTTTGGTGTAGTGTTTTGACCTTTACATTCATTTTTGATAGAAAGTTGACAACAGACAAAATTACACAGGAAAATAAAATTTTGACAAAATAATTAAGTTCCAAAATTACATTACCTACCAAAATTTAATTACATACTTGTAACAAAAGTATCTATCAGAATTGAAAAATAAAAGAGTCATAGTTATGTATTTTACTTTAATTTTCAAAAACTTCAGAACCAAAAAAATTATACAAAGTTTAATTTTAAAACGTAATATACAGTATGTCCCGGATTGAGTTTACAATACGAAAAAAAATCTTTTATTTTATGACTGTAAAGGAAAAACATTTTTGGTTTCATCTGAAACGAGCAAATCTGTAATTTTACTTTATATTTTTTTTATTATTTTGTTTTTACTACTAGTGAAATTAGACACGTTTTTATGTTTTTTATATCATGTGATCAAATAAATTCGGAGTCGAAATCGACTTTGAGTAACAAAATTTAAAACAATTCTTTTTTTAGTCTTTGTTTGAATCACATAAATTTGTCCTGTCACCATTTGTCAAATGAAAGATACTTTGATGTGTCAATTAGAACTTTGATCAAAAAATCGAAGTATTACAGCTTGTGGCACTTTTGCCTTTGTAAAAGTTCCTTGATACTTTTTTTTAATCAATCAGACTTCGACCGGAAATTTATTTAAAAAATTACATAAAAATCTTCTTAATCTGATAGAAAATTTGGTTATATTTTTTGAAGTATTGCAACAAATACTTGAGAAATGCCTAAAGTTTAAGTTGTCTAGTTGTTGTTCTAAGGGGACGACATGATGTTATAATTTATGCTCCTTTTTTTAATGGTTTCAGATATTTGTCTTTTATGCTTATGATAATAAAGGACTCTTCGATTTATATTTTGGAAAAAACTGAAAATACAGGTAGTTCCAGTTTTTTTTTTTTTTTATAAAGATCATACTTTATCCTTGTAACTTTGACAGATACAAATTCCACATAGAAATACAAATTACCCAAATTTAAAAAAATATCAGTTTATTAAAACCATGCTCTAAAAAATCAACTTTTTCATACAAGTGTATTTTTTTATACAAGAGAGCTTTAGTTTGGGCTGTATAATTTCTAGAATGATTCTCATAAATTTATAAAGAACATTTCGTTGCTGCAACATCGAGTTGTAAGATCAAGTACTCTCAATCCAGAAAAATGACTTAATTAAAATTATGCAAAATAGATGAAGCTTGTTTATTTTTGTAACTAGGTTGTGGACGTTGCGTCCTTATTTCTTGTTAATAAACATTCATGTTTATATTAATAGAAAAAAAATGGTGTCATCACAGGGAAGAAAAGAAGTTTTTTTGGTCCAGCTATGGTCAGTTTAGAAAACAGAAGCAGAGGGTAAAATGTTGATTACAGGGTGCCCCTATTCATGGTTACAATAATTATTACAAAACGCATTCGTTTTTATCACAACTCGGGTCGTTCTGTGTCTTCATCGATCCGTGGGCGCGTGTATATGATGATGCTGCTTCGTAGGTGAATGCCCTTTAAAGTTTGTCGACTTTTTAGTCGCGACAACGATGCTGTTTACGATTGCACAAAGCAAATGATGCTTCAAACTCGTCGAAATCACGGTCGTCTTGTATCTATTTTAATCCTTCGCGTATTATAATGGTGGGGCCTCCTGTTTTGCATGGCGCCGTCAATGGCATACTGTCCGCTTTATTTGTCTCAATGCATTTTTTTTTTGTATTTTGTGGTTATTTTTAACGAATCGTAGGTCATGTTTTGGTGAGATAAGTGCGTAGAGGAACTTATCGGGTGTTTACAAGGAGATAAAAGAATTTATTTTTTTGCCGCCGATGTAAACACCAGTTCTAAAATTAGCACGAATGATTGATATAGGTTTTGTGATATATGAGATTTCATTAACGATTTTTTTTATTTTGATTCGGAAATAGTTTTACTATAAATACTAACTTTAAATACCAGTTTTATGATAAAACTCCCAAAACAAGAAGTTATTTATTTGTATCTCATAATAAAAGAATTATTTATTGTGTAATTTGTTGATAACTGTTATCTTGTTGAACAAATAGTGAACATTTTAGATAACTTATGTAATCGTAATGCACTTTTTGTTTTTTACTTTACTAATTTGAGACATCAAATACTGCAGCAGTGGATTCCTTTTTTATTAATGTATTAATCAGTAATGAAATGTTGATATAATACGATTTGCATTCCGTCTATAAATAGCAAGAATAAATTGTTGAGTGTTGAAATACTTGATTATTACGAAATGTAAAGTACACCTCTGTGCATTATGTTTACGTCGTAAAACAAATTATCAAAACGTTGACATAATTTCGATACGTTTTGTAATTTTACCATGTCCGGGAATGCATTTTATGAATAAGTAATTGATCGAGCTTTTATTTTTCGTTTCTGCAAATTATACAAGACATTAGTGTATTTATAGATAAATCTGTTTATATTCATTTGCTCGGTAGATAAACTTTAGCTCGGTATGACAACAACAATACCACAAAAACAATCTTTTACATACTGTAGATATGCAAAGTCGTGCAACGTCGTCCATACAAAATCAGGTAAATGAGATTTAATTATAATTTTTTTCTCTAAAAGAAGTCAATGTCGACATGTGAGATTTTTAAAGGTCACTTGTGTTTCCGCGACATGAAATTTGCCGTTTATAAGTCGTAAATTAAAAATTGCATATGCAAGGCCGGTTCGACCTTCCTTTTATTATGTACTCAATGTCACATGTTATGTATGAGAGACTCGGTTAGTTTTGAAGTTTTAGCTTAGCCCTTTTTTACGCTCAATGTACAACAGGTGTTGGTGCATTTAGAGGAAGTAAAACCGGAGTGTGACGCTCAGATATTTTTAGCTTGACACACTGAAGATTATTACACTACTAGAGAGATAATTTTTTGGTTCATTTACGGTTAATTATGGTTGTTCAAATGTTCGGAATTAATTAGAAAGTGGGAAATATTCCATAAATGCTTCGAAAAGTCGCCTTAGGTTGGATGTAGATTATTCTAATGTTCATTGGTCGTTGACCTGTTTATACATTTTTATTTGAGGGTTCATTGTAATCTCAAGGTTGTATGTTCTTGGTTCATTGTGTTGCATAGTCACATTTATGAAAATAAAAAAATCGAGCAAATGATGGTGACGGTTTTTATTATTTTATAAAGATTAATCAGTTTTTCAAACGTAAATTCCTTTTGAGATATTAATTAGAATTAGAAACTTGTTGGGCCAAAAATTAACTAATAATTACATTTTCATTAGAATCTTTAGGTATTTTGGATAGTAAATTTGATTTAGTAATTTTTTCTCTGACAAAATTTCGATTTGAAAGCGAGAATTTAAATTATTTAACGAAAAAAAATTGTTTATCTAAGACACAAAAACCAACCAATTGTAGACACCTCTTAGAAAAATAACTATGTACATATGTAGTTACATTTACAAAAAAAATGTGTTTTTTTGGTAATAAATTTTATTTAGAATCCATTTTTTTCATAATTTTTTGTTATTTAATGAGCAAGAATAATTAATTTTCAAAAATTTTAAGCAAAAACACAAATTCCTCTTGGAATAATAATAATAATTAAGTAGAAACTCTGTGGAACAAAATACCTACATTTTAATTTAATAAAAATTATTAAGTTTTAATCTTTAATTACATCTTCAATTGAATTTTTAGACGTATTCCACGTTGAGTGTCACCTGAAAAAAAACCCATCTCAATTGACAATTGAAAATGACAAATGGAATCTCTTTTTTTAATCACATGCAACACCTGTTGAATTAGGTATAGGAGTAACAAAATTTTACTAGAATTTAATTTTTGTAGTAAATTTTTTATGTTGGCAATATCACTGTCATGCGAAAGAGGACGAATTTTTACTTAAGACCTGGTTTATTTAAAGTTTATTTTAATTCAAATTGTCAGTATTTTAGTAGCGCTCGTTTGAGGACTAAAAGTCGCATTTTGCAAAATTAGATTTGTCTTAAAATTCTAGATCCACGTTGCCGATTGTAAATTGTGGTGTTAATGGTCCTTAAAAAAAACATAATAATTTCTTTCTTTTTTGAACAGTGTAGTTTTACCTCAGAAAACAGGAAAATTGTTAAGACCTGAAATATTTTTGATAATTTTATAGTAGCATTTTATAGATAACATTTTCAATAATAAGTATACTTGTCTTGGTATTGGTTCTGCTCTACTTAGTCCAGACAGTAGAATAAAAAATCTTAATTAAAACCACTTAATTCAAAACGAATAAGAGAAATTGCATTGTTGCCCGGTGAAACAACAATTCATTATCTTAAAAAAATGAAAATAAAATAAGAATTTACATTGTTTTTATTTTTTCCAGATTTTTATTAGTCTAGGCGCTACACCCCCTGCCCCATCATGTTTTCCTTCCATAGACCTAAGGTATACAGATCGTCAACGGGATGCTGTATTTGTAAGGCAAAATCAAGCAGGTTTGTGTCAAACTCCCGTCAAAAAACCATTTTATTATTCCTTTCTCTCCAGTTCCAGATTTACGGATAGTAAAAAATACGAAGAAGACTTTATGAAATGCTTCAAATTGGCTGAACCTCGTCAAGGCGAGATTTGTAACGCTTGTGTCCTTTTGGTCAAACGATGGAAAAAACTCCCCGCCGGCTCCGATCGCAATTGGAAACACGTAAGTTCGACAAAAAACAGTTTGTTTACGCAACCGCTAGTCATTTGTTTTCGAAAAATCTCAAAAGATGCTTTCACAAACTAAAATGCAATTATGGTATCGAAATCAGGTGGTGGACGCCCGCGCCGGTCCCGGAATGAAATCCATGTCGAAATTCAAAAGTAAGAGTAAGAAAATGGACGAAAATTGCGATAAAATCAAGAAAAAGAAGCATTTCGATCGCGAGTACAGTCCGTTGTCTGATAACGAGGATGTGGAAATGACTGAAGTGGACTTTTTGTGTGAAGATGGCCCCAGTGGTGGGTCGAGTCGCACGACGAGTCCAAGGGATAGTGATAGCGAGGAAAACGTGGTGAAAAGCAGGAGACATAAAGGTCAGGCGAAGAGAAGGGACGGAAGTCTTCCGGAAATGAGCGATTTTATTTGTCCAGAGTATTGGAAAAGGTGGGTGTTTTGAGGGTGTTTTTTTTTGGGGCGTTTTTGATGGAGTTTTTGTATTGCAGGGAAACGATTTGTTGCGGGACAATCTTCAAAGGAATGTGCGGAGAAGTGATCGTCGATAATCGATTTTTGAAAGCTTGTTCGGCACGTATGCGGTGTAAGTTGGCAACGCACGAGGTTAAAACCGAACCGGAAGTTGGAGTCACGAAAATGTTCAGTGATAGCAGTTCGGATTCAGGTTATGACGAGTCTTCGAATCAAGGCACAATAAGTGGAGATAGTGCCTTCAAAAAAGAACAAGTTAGTATAGAGGAGTTAAACAGTCAGATCAAAAACAATTAATGTATGCTCTCTTTAGATTGTTTTAATTTATTGATACATATTGATCGTTGTGTTTGTAAAGATTTATGCCTTTCTTGCAGATTTTTGCTAGTTTTTTTTACCAGTTGATATTGCATTATTGTTTTAGTACTTAATTTTATTCGATATGTTGCACAAAAATATTATACAAATGTTAGTTCTGCTTGTTTGTATATATTTCTGAAGAAAAGCATAAATCCGTTTTTTTTTTTTCTCATGGTGACACAGTACAAATGATGAAAAAATTGGTAATTTCCAATATTTTTCTCCTGCTCAACCAACCAAGTCACAGGGTGAAATATTTGAAGTTGTAATTTATAATAATGTAGATTTGTCTGTGACGGGAAATTTTTGACGTTGGATATTCCAAATCAATCTGTTGATTGGGTCCAAAAGTTTATTATTACGAACGACACCATTTTTATTATCAACAAATTTCAATCAAAAGTCAATTGTTTATAGACACAAAGATAAAATTTACTTCATCACTGAGATTTATTTATTGTTTGGCAGTGTAAAAGATTCTATTTTCCCATTCCGTTGTTGTGATGTGTTAAATTATTTAAATTATATAATTTCATTACTCTGCCTTGAATAAATACGACCGACTGACTAGAAGTAACGCGTAATTTTATCTGTGTGTTTGTGCAATTCTCTTTAAATCTGTTGTTTGAAGCAATATATTGTTTAAAAATCGGATCATATCGTAATTGTGGTGTCTTGAACTTACTGCCAAATACTAAAGTTATGACACACAAGTGTTCCTCTTCTAGAAAAACACAAACTATGCTAAGTATTTTAGAATAAACTTTATAATAATAATAATATAAAAAGAGCGCTCGTTTTTCGTATTATTTTTTGAAGGCAGCAATATCATCAGGTTGTTTCTACAAGATAATTTCACTTTAAGAAACTTGTTTTTAAATTGAAATTATCTTATTTCGATGGAGACTCGTTTCATCATACATTAATTTAGTGCATTAATAAAAAAGAGTTTATGCAACATTATTTATTATTTTGAATATTATTTTTACTAGATTATATTTTGTAAATTAGAGGGTATATTATACTTTTAAGAAATGCCTATAGACTGCAAGCCTAGTCGTTTTTGTATGATGTAATTGCAATTATTACATGAATCTCCTATTGAGTTTATCGATTCCATGATTGGCATTAATTTTTCATTGCAGAAGGGAGAAGATTCGCAACATTTAACTTATTATAACTGCCATGAATAATAAAATGTTCTATATTTTTTTACATCACTGGAATGACGATGAGAAAGAATGTACTTGCTGTAAAAAAGTGTAGATTTTTAACGTGGATCTCAGTTATTTGTGAAATGCATACATTCTTCTTTAATTCACAAATTATATTGATTAAAAAAGTATTATGATATATGTATATTCGTAATTATTAAGATTATGTACGATAAAATAGATATATATTTATTTCAAATTTGTATAATCTGTACATTTGGCTAGCTTTGTTTTATGTTTGTTAAGTTTTTCTCGCATGAAATACTCTTCCAATTATTAAATAATAAAAAATCTGACCTGAATGCTTCAGGCCTTTTAAATATTTAACGTAATTTCGAACGAAAATCATGGATGAGGGTAAAAGTAGACTATTTTTGATAAACATCAAACGTTTAGGAAAATTTTGGAATAAAAAATTAACAGCTAGCCAATTGATATGAGTTTTCTAGGAGTTTCACCATGTATATTCTAAATTTTATCATTTTCTAAAAAAAAATATAAAATCAAATAAATTGTTGTTAGTAAAGCCAAATTGTTACTAATGCAATAATATTAACAGCAATTGTTATAGATATCACGGATGTTAAGGTTGAAGCTATAATAAAATATTTTATAAATGAGTGTAAGAAACTAAGTTTCGAGGCTTTTAAAGTCGAGTTTTAGCTAAGGACCTAAATGGTATTACTAGAAATGATTCATTACTAGATTTGTAGAACATTTGTTTTGTCCGTGGTTTTTTGTGAATTTTATTGTAATTGAGTGTTTCCAATTCCATGCAATATGTGAGAAAATTCGTTCTGTATTGTGTATTTATCAATAAACTTTAAATATATTTCTAATATTTCAATTTATTTTCCCGTTAGCCCCCTGAACGTGAATTTTTTGTGTTATATTCTTTTGAATCAATTGAAATCCCGCGTTTTTTCAGTTTATCTGTCGGTATTATAGGTTTTTAGTTGACTTCGGGATTACAGGTTTCTATTCTACAAACGCAACAAAATGAAACGTCAAGTACAAATGTAACCTCAAACTAATAAAATTTTTAATAACAAATTAAACTTATTGCACAATGAAGGTGCCAGAATCCGAGAAAGAAAACGTCCTATCGAGACGTTTGAACAAAATCTTGGAAACCCGACTTGAAAACGATCAGGTAATTCGTACAACCCCAAATTCAATTGATAACCCCTATAAAACAGGATACCTTGGAAGCACTAAAACAACTTTCAACATTTTACACCGAAAACACTCTACAAGCACGCCGAAATTTGCGCAGCCAGATTGAAAAACGCAGCCTCGACATAAACGAAAATTTCCTCGCATCGTTCAGAGAAGTAAAACAGTGTTTTGATGCCGTTTACAACGACGTTTCCGAAATGAGTAAATCGATCCAAGAAATGACACATCGACTTCACAATGCTAAAATGCAAACAAAGCAATTGCTAGAGCAAACCAAGTCTTTGCAAGAAAGTGGCGAAAAAAATGACATGCAACAGCAGATAGTTCAGGCTTTTTTGGACACGTTTCAATTAACGTCGGACGAACTCATCGCTCTGCATGGAAACAAGCAAAAACGAGACGCCCCACTCACGAACGAGATTTTTTCAGCGTTAGATCACATCCAGAAGATTCATTCTGATTGCAAAGTTCTGATGCAGTCGGGACACCAAACCCTAGCTCTGGACATAATGGAGCAGATGACCTTACATCAAGTATTGATTTAATAGTATTAGTTTTATTTTTTCACTTTTGTTAATTACAGGAAGGGGCTTTAGAACGACTATATAGGTGGACACAGCACCACTGTAGAAACGTCGATAATCCCGATTTAACAGAAATAATAACTCAAGCAATGGCCAGGTTGCAAGAACGCCAAATGTTATTCAAATACATAATAGACGAGTATTGCATAGCGAGACGGTCAGTCCTCGTGGGCGAATTTATCAACGCTCTGACACGCGGGGGCCCTTCGGGCAACCCCGCCCCCATCGAATTAAGGGCCCACGACCCCCAGATCTACATCACAGATATGCTAGTTTGGTTGAACAAAGCCATACCTGTTGAAAAACAAAATCTTCACTTGCTTGTAAAATTATGCGACAAAAGTGGTACGTTTTCATCAAGCAATGATTTAAATTTTAGTTTCATTTTTTTAGATTTAAATCAGCAATTGAATGAAGCTTTAGCATCGATTTGTGAGGGTATTTGCCAACCGTTGAAAATTCGAATTGAGAAAATTCTCAGTTCTTCAGTCGCCCCATCGGTTTTATATGCAGTTACAAATCTGATCCGTTATTACAAAAAATGCATTTGTAAAATAGTTACTGGGGGATTGCTTGAGGCCACATTGGTCGAAGTGCAGGAACGGAGCGAGGGGGCTTTCTTGACAACTCTCCAACAACAAGTCAATAGTATTTTAGTGAGGGTTGAGGCGCCCCCGAGGGACCTGTCGCCGACTCCCTCTGTTAACCACTTGTTGGCCATATTAAGAGACACGTTGTCCACTGCTAGTGTTAGTGAAGGGAGGGAGAGTGACATGGGAAAAGTAATGTTCACAAACTATTTATTTTTTTGTTAATCTATTAATTGGTAGATTGCGCAATGTATTATGGAGCCCCTCTTGAGAGCCGTCAACGAACAAGCCTCTCGTCTGCCCCCCACCGACATGGCTGTCTACATGCTGAACTGCATGTACTCAATGTACACTTGTTTATCACTGTATGAATTCATGGACGAAAGATTAGAACGACTTCAAGCACAATCTGACGCCCAAATAGACACTTTAACATCAGAACAAGCGAGTTCACTTGTTGCAAATCTTAATTTGGGGCCGATTTATACCATTTTGCAAGATCACACGCAAGGGCCTCTGTCAGGAATCCCCGGAATGGAACCCACAAATTTGAAAAATTTCTTGGTAATTTTATTAATAATTGCAAATTTGGGGTTGACAGTTATTTTTTAGGCCAAACTGGATTATTTATTGGCTTCCCCTGACACAGTTTTGCTACCCCAAATCAACTTGTTATCGTCATCTAAACACAAAAAAGCCGTTCAGAAAAGGGCGTTTGATGTTCTTTTGGCCATTTATAAACAGCTGTATGAAGGTGTTCACAACCCGGCGAATTTGTACGAAAATCCTGAGAATATTCTTAGCAAGACTCCAGACGAATTAATGAAAATATTAAACTAGGCTTTGAGTATTATTGTATATACGTTATTATTTTTATTTTATTCCATATAAGAGGATGTTGTGTTTGAAACAAAAAAATTAATTTTTCGAAATTACAAAAAATGTTTTTCTTAGATGCAGTTAATTACTAATTAATACATGGAATTACCTTACATAAATTTGATTCATCTAACTCTCCATCAGAAGAATAATGAAAACAAAAAACTTGTCGATTTTCAATTTCATTATCAAATTTCAAAAACTACTACATAACCTCAAAAACTGTCAAAATTTTGGTCAAAAAGTTACCATGAAGCAGGTTGACCAACATAAATCTATTTTTTTTAATCAGTTTGTATTAATTAATTATTAATTAACGGCATAATTGCTAATGTAAACCGACAATTTTACTGAAGTGAGGAGTTTTCGGTTGTTCAATTTGGCCCGCGATGGTGTTAGACAGTGATTTTCTGGGGTATTCTCACTTGTAAGCCATTTCTGTTTTACGGTATTGGCGGCCGTGGGGCGGTCGCTGCGCGAAGTTGGCCTTGATCACGTGACCGTCAAACGTCAAATCATCTCGTGCGGGGATTGCGGGGCGAGTGACGGCCGAAAAAATTCTTTCACCCCGGACGTAGTAAAATAAAATTTAAGTGCAAAAACCTGGTGCAGAATGGAGATTCGCAAGCTGATCGAGCTGCTGAGGGCGACCATCGACCCCAACCAGCGTCAGCAAGCCGAGGCCCAGCTGGAGCAGGTTTGCCGAACATGTGCTTTTTGTCTGGCGGCATTTTCACGTTTTTCGACAGATCCACAAGATCATCGGCTTCGCCCCCTCGTTGCTCTCCGTGGTGATGATGGCCGACTGCGACATGCCGGTGCGGCAGGCGGGGGCCATCTACTTGAAGAATCTCATCTCGCAGAGCTGGCAGGACAGGGAGGTTGAGGGCGGCCAGCCGCTGCCCTTCGCCATACACGAGCAGGACCGGGCCCTCATCAGAGACAGCATTGTGGATGCGGTGGTCCACGCCCCCGATCTCATTCGGACACAGCTGTGCACTTGCGTTAATAATATGGTCAAACACGACTTTCCGGGCAGGTGGACCCAAATCGTGGACAAGGTCTGATAATTGCCCAAAAAAGTATTTTACCTAAGTATTTATCAAATTCTTGTGGTCACATACCCTTTCATTTAGTCAAGTCACACAACAGAAGCGTTGTTGTCTAATTTTGGTATGAGGATCGTTTCGGTTTTATGAAATTTGGGCTATTTTGGGGTTATCACGACACAGATCTCAGGTTTAGCTTAAATAAATTAATTTTGAATATTCACTAAACCTAATTTGCAAGCTAGAAGAAATACAAACAACTTAATTTTTACTTTATAGAAAAAGGTCTCAAACATTTCATTCGTAGGTACTGTAACCTGTACTGAGGTAGTGAGAGTGCCAACAGCCTAAGTCCATTTTTTTCAAAAAATTATTAATCAAAAAAGTGAATATTTATTTAATACAGCTTCTATTTCAACCAATGCATAAAATCTTGCAATCAGCATTAATTAACAGAATAACAGATGTTTAAATGTTAGTCCAGGATAATGTTAGAGCGACAAAGTATTAAGTCGAAAGAGAGGTGAATTGTATCTAAGTAAAAAAAAATATATTGTGGAAGCAAAAAACATAAAATCATCATGTAGTAATTTGAGTCAGAATAAAATAATGCAAATCCATAGTAATAGAACAGTAGCAGCAAATTTTTACGGATATTTGGAAAACAAGGTTTTATGGCAAAAACTTTTTCTTAATACATTGTCTATTAGTATGGATATTTACGTGAAGCTCTCAAAAAAATTTTGACAACCGGAATAACAATAGCTGATCAAAGAGGGAAAAAAATTCGTATAAACAAAACCCCTGATAATGTACAAAATACATATAGAAGACAAATTAGAAGACTTTTTAAACTTTGGTAATGTTTATTTTTTATGTTTCAAGAAAAAAATGTGGAGATAAAAGCTAATTTATTTATAAATTATATGGACTATTACAGAAATCTTCTTTATTCAAAATGCTGAAGATATTCTGAAAGACAATTAACTTTCCTACTTAATAAATACAGGGTGTTCCGTTTTTATTGTTACAAATTTAAGCAGGTTATAGGATGTTCAATTTTGAGATAAAAGTTTCCTATAAACATGTATCGAAAAATATTAAATAAGGGAGCTACATCCCCTGAAAGGGGTGCATCTTTTAATGGATTTCTTCCAATATTTCTGCAACCATTGTAGATACAATTTCAAAATTTGGTACAACTGATAACCTTTATACACCCAAACGAATTCAAAGCTAAAATGTCGAAATTTTTACTCAGGGGCGTCCTAAACTGGGGGGGTTTAGGGTAAAAGTACCCTAACTATTTTGGCTGTTGGTTCGTGGCACTTTCAGCCACAAAATTCTAAATTTCATAGTTTTTTATAAAAAAAAGATCTCTTGCGTTTTTTCGATTCAGCTTACCGTTTTTAAGTAGAATCAGTTTACAATGTGTCTTACAGACTATAAAAAGGATAAAAATTAAATTTGTTTCACCGTTTAAGACATCCGTGATTAAAAATTTTGACAACTGATCTTTGAATTCGTTCAGGTGTTATCAGCTGTACCAACTTTTGTAATGTTCTCTATTCTGCAATAGTGGAAAACCCCATTAAAAAACGCATCTCTTTCAGGGGGTGTAGCTCACTTACGTAACATTTTTTGATACATGTCATAGGAAACTTTTGTCTTAAAGTTGAATATTCTATCACCTGTTTAAATTTGTAACAATAAAAACGGAACACCTGTATATTGTTAAAATGAGCTAAAGTATTAAGTCCTTTTAGTGGCTTTTATTAACTAAATAAAACAAAATCAAATATCTTTTTGTTATCTACTACCACTTACAATATGTTCCAGAACATAATGACCCTTCTAAAATGTTACGTAAAATTGTGACATTGGTTTCTAATGGACAATTTTTGTTTTAAATTATTTCTGAATATTAAGCATTTTGGGCTGTTATTTCTAGTTTCCAAACGGCAATACGTTTTGTTAGTAATAAATGTACAAGAGCATTTTTGTCTAATATAAACAGCAACATTATTGTTGATAATAGAATTGATAGGAAAATTGGTCGTTTGCATAAGTGTGTTATCAAAAATCACTTTCGAAAATGATAAAATTTTACAGTTTTGCTTGTAGCAAATAAACAAAATGATGGTATTCAATTAGGAGCAATATTAGGGCATAATTTACTCATTTCTTTGTTCGTCTAGTATTCTTTGACCCAGATTTGAAAAGGAAAGCAACAAAATGTACTTAGAAAGAAGGTATTGATAGAATGTCTTATAGTTTATTTTAACTTACATTCCAAGAAGTCTCGGTATCATCTCGCATTTGTAACTACAAAAAGCCAGACAACACATGGATTTCTTCATTCAAGTATGATAGGAGCTTGATTACCAATCAAGAAATATACAGTATGTCCCCAAATTGAGTTGACAAGACGAAAAAAATGTTTATCTTTGATTTTACGCCAAAACTGCAAAGCAAAAACTGTTTTTCCTTTGCAGTTTTCGCGTAAAATCAAAGATTTTTTTTCCTTTTGTAAACTCAATCCGAGAACATACTGCATAAATCTAGATAAATCTAGATTAGCTGAGAGCAGCCCTTCAATAAGAACAACTTAAAATTCCCTTAAAACCTCTGCTATATTGGTTAGACATTATTATATTGATTAATAAACATTTTATAAACATTTCTAATATTTTGAGTAAATCTTAAAATAAATATAAGAAATTTAAAAAATCTTGACACTTTTGTTTGTTGTTGTAACACATTATTTGGCAAACCTGTAGAATATAATTATTTAATCCGTTGGTAATTTATATTAGTTGTATAAAACCCGTTTTTTTTGTGATAAAATTGTCGCGCAATTATCACATTTGGACTATTTTGGGGTTATCACGCTGCGTCCTTGAAATGGTTGTTCAGTTTTTCTTCTTGCTTACAGATCAGCATTTACTTATCGAATCCTGACCCCAGTGGATGGCATGGATCCCTTCTCTGTCTCTACCAGTTAGTAAAAAATTTCGAATACAAAAAGGCCGACGAAAGGGGGCCTTTACACGAAGCCATGAATTTACTATTACCTCAACTTTATCAACTCATTGTTCGAATATTACCGGACGCTTCTGATCAATCGGTGCTTTTACAAAAAGAGGGTTTAAAAATTTATTTCGCCCTCACGCAGTATATGTTACCTTTAGATTTGATAACTAAAGAGGCTTTCGCGCAATGGATGGAAGTCTGTCGACAGGTAAATATTTGTCGATTAGGATTGGATTTTTTATTGAAATGATGTTCAGGTCGTCGAAAGACCCGTCCCACCGGCCGCGCTCCAACCGGATGAAGATGAAAGGCCCGACTTACCATGGTGGAAGTGTAAAAAGTGGGCGTTGCACATATTGTACCGTATGTTTGAACGTTACGGTTCTCCCGGTTTGGTTACCAAGGAATACAATGAGTTTGCTGGGTGGTATTTGCAGACTTTCAGTGCTGGTATTCTGGAGGTACTTCTAAGACAGCTTGATGGGTACAGATCGGGTCATTGGGTGCCTCCCAGAGTCCTCCAACAAACCCTCAACTACTTAAATCAGGCAGTTTCACACGCTTACACTTGGAAGATTCTCAAACCTCACATGCCGGCCATTATACAAGATGTTCTTTTCCCCCTAATGAGTTATTCGCCCGAAGATCACGAATTGTGGACTGTCGACCCACACGAATACATACGAGTGAAATTCGACGTTTTTGAAGATTTCGTTTCGCCTGTCACTGCCGCACAAACTCTGTTACACTCGTCGTGTAAAAAACGCAAAGATATGTTACAGAAAGCGATGACTATGATTACGCAAGTCTTAACCAATCCGACCACAGAACCGCCACAAAAAGACGGTGCTTTACACATGGTTGGCTCATTGGCCGATGTTCTCTTAAGGAAGAAATTCTACAGAGAACAACTTGATCAACTTTTTATTAAATACGTTTTTCCTGAATTTAACAGCGATCGAGGTCATATGAGGGCGAGGGCGTGTTGGGTTTTGCACTATTTTGCTGAATTTCCCTTCCGCCAGGAAAATGTCTTAATGGAGGCTGTTAATTTGACCGTCAGGGCTTTGCTTCACGATACAGACCTTCCAGTCAAAGTGAGATAATTGTTAATGCTTTTTTGAACGAAAGTCAACAAATTGAAATTTTATTCGCGATTCAAGCTGGCCTCGTGCGCATCTGATGCTAAATTCAACGACCATGCAGGAATTTTAAATTTAATACGTAGAGTTACGTCATGTTAAATACCTCAAGTTGTGCGATCAAATTATAGAAATAGTTTTATTAAATGTTAAACGCGTTCCGGGCATTTAAAGATTTCACTTCAAAATTTCAAAACTTGAAAATTTTCGGCCCTAGATCTTGACGGTTTATTTAACTTATAAACTACGGGGAATTTTCCAGTTTTCTTGACGACTTCCACGACCATTCATGTACGTACATTTTGGTTTAAAGTTGTGCCAAAATTGACAATTGAAAAATTTGAAATTTTCTAATATCCTCCCGAAAAGCGCACTTTCGGTCACCTCGAAAATTAGGTTCAAACCTAGGCATTTATAAATTTCCACACGCTGATTACTAACTACACCTTTTTCAAGTGTAATTCAGAAATCATCGCATATAGTTCAGATTAGTCAATTTAATTTCAGAAAGGGAAAATTATAATTCAGATCAGTCTATTGTATTTCAGAAAGTATTTATTGTAATTTGCAAGAGTAAAATGAATTTCAGAAACCACCAGATGTAATTCAGATTAATTAATTTAATTTCAGAAAGCGTAAATTGTAATTATGATTAGTCAGTTATATTTCAGAAAGTATTAATTGGAATTCAGAAACCATTACATGTAATTCAGAACAGTAAATTCAATTTCATGGTAGATGTAATTCGGAAAATATCAATTGTAATTCAGATGATTAACATACTATTATCTCAAAATTAAGGTTACACAAACACGAATTATTTTATTTTCAAAATTAAAATCACGTAAACATGATTTTTTTTGAAAAACAAGGGATTTTGATGATGTAATTTTTAAATTAAAATAATTCTGAATTACAATTAGCGAATTATTAATTACAAACTCTGAATTACAATTAACACTTTCTGAAATACCTACAATTGACTAATCTGAATAACAATTTACATTTTCTGAAATTAAATTAACTAACCTGTATTACATCTGATGGTTTTTGAATTCATTTTATTGTTCTAAATTACAATTAACACAAATACAGGGTGATTTTGAGGTATGTGCAAATATTTCAACGGTTGATAGTAGAGCTCAAAAGAAGTCAAAATAACTCAACTTGCCCTATCGGAATGTTTATAGTTTCTGCGGTAGAGGGTTTTGTTCGTCAAAAAATTTAAATTTTGCTGTACAGCCTTGAACTTCGAACTTCACCAACATAAATTGTAAACAAATATCTTAGTCTGTCGTTTTTTTTTGTAGTTTCGGTGTAATCCGTTTGAAAATTGGATTTTTTATGACATATCGATTTGGTCTTATAGATTTTTTCACACCAATTATCTACCTGACTTTTTGCAATAACTCTATTTATAGTTTTTTTTTTTGTAATCGACGTTTGAAAAATAACTAAGTTCAAATTTTTGAACGCGTTTTTGTCGAAAATTAAGACTGACGAATTAAGAAATCATAAGAAACTGCGTTAGATTATCAAATGGCAGAAATTTGGAGGCGTTGCAGATACAAACCGTTTTATTTTACACTTAAAAAATTCGTAACTTGGGAACTATCAGTTCTAAGTTGAAACCATTTGCATGCACGAAATTCTCGGTTCATTTTAAATAATATTTCGATTTTTTTAACGGTACTATTACCTAAAAATCAGTAATTCTAACACGTCAAAATCAAATTTAGCACTAGAGTAGTTCACTCAAAGGTGTAACAGTCTTAGCTTGAATCTCGAATTGAAAAAGAAATTTTATTTTTGTTCTTCAAGAAATTAACGAATTTATTATTGTTTATTAAACGTTTTATACGATATTTTCATTAAAAACCTGTACTTTCATGTAAAAAATTTATTAAAATTACAATGTGCTTGTGGTTTTGGTTAAAAAAATAGTTGTGTTGAATTGCAGGTGGAGGCGGCCATCGCGCTTCAATCTCTCTTAAATTACCAAGAGAAATCGCAGAAGTACGTCGAGCCGCAAGTCAAGCAAGTCGCCCATGAGTTACTGACGATAATCCGCGAGACCGAAAACGAAGACGTGACTGGAGTTATGCAAAAATTAGTTTGTGTTTATACTCAACAGTTGGCTCCGATAGCGGTCGAAATTTGTCAACACTTGACTGCCACTTTCAACCAAGTTTTGGACACTGATGAAGGTTCCGATGAGAAAGCCATAACAGCGATGGGTTTATTGAACACCATCGAAACATTATTGACAGTTATGGAAGAACAACCGGAAATAATGATGTTATTAGAACCGACAGTTCTTCAAGTCGTGGTTCATGTGTTACAGAACGAAGTCAAGGAGTTCTATGAGGAGATTTTAGCCCTGATTTATGACCTAACGAGCAAACACATATCGCAAGATATGTGGAAAGTGTTCGAGTTGTTGTATCAGGTGTTTATGAAGAACGGTCTTGATCATTTTACAGATATGATGCCAGCGTTACATAATTATATAACGATCGATACTCCGGCCTTCCTCAGTAACGAACAACGCCTTTTAGCTATTTACAACATGTGTAAAGAAGTCTTGAACAACGATTGTGGCGAAGATGCCGAATCGCACGCTGTTAAATTACTCGAAGTGATTTTGTTGCAATGTCAAGGCAAGGTGGATCAAGCCGTACCGATGTTGGTCGAATTGGCAGCGTCGAGGTTATTACGTGAAGTCAAAACGAGTGAATTGCGGACGATGTGCTTGCAAGTCCTAATAGCCGCTCTTTATTACAATCCGGGATTGTTGTTTTCGGTCCTTGAGAAAATGCCCAATTTTACTGATAATTTTATCAAGCAATGGTTGCACGACACGGATTGTTTTCTAGGAATACATGATAGGAAACTGTGCGTTTTAGGACTGTGCACTTTGATCACGATGGATAATAAACCGAATTGTTTGGCAGAGATGGTGCCTCGTGTGATACCTTCGTTGATTTTGTTGTTTGATGGCTTGAAGAGGGCTTACGCGGCGAAGGCGCAAGAGCAAGCCGAGGAGGAGGAAAGCGAGAGTTCGGATGGGGAGATTGAAGGAGGTGCTTGGGATTACATACGATAAATATTATTTTTTAATTATTTTGTATTTTGTAGAAGTTTTGAGTTCGGACGACGACGAGATTGACGACCAAGGTCAGGATTATTTGGAAAATCTTTCACGAAGGGCCATATCGGTGGGGAATGCGACCGGGATGGCAATCACAAGTACAATCAATGACATAGATGATGATTCCGACGATGATGATTCTGATTTTGAACCGAACGAAGAAACGATGTTGGAGGCCTTCACGACACCTCTAGATGAAGAAAATTGTCCAGTAGATGAATACGACGTATTCAAAGAAGTCATGACTAGTAAGTGTTGTGTTTAGTCTGCGGTCCGTGTTGATTGTGTTTGTTCAAGGATTGGAACGTTGTCAGCCTGAATGGTATAACGCCCTTACAGCCAATTTAACAGAACAACAAAAGAAGAATTTGGTAGATATTTGTGTGTTAGCGGATCAGAAGAAAGCAGCCAAAGAAAGTAAAAGAATTGAACAATCGGGAGGTAAATAATTCATATTGGGAAAAGAACGAGTTGTAATTTTTTGTCTAGGTTTTATGTTTACGCAACATCAAGTACCCACATCTTTCAAGTTCGGCACTCCAAAACCTTCATGAACATGACGTGGTGTATAAATTTTTTTGTGACTGAATGTAAAATTGACTGTTGCGACCAGTGAAGTGATGTACAGTTGGTAATTTAATCTTTTTTAATTTTTATTAAGTGCCTTTTTATTAAAAAAAGAACGGATGTAACGATTTAAATTTACCTAATATAGATTTAAATGAAAAATGTTTATTTTCCGTGTAGTTGTAATTATTTTCTGACTGTGTTTCTTTTTGTCTTTTTAGGTTGATTTATTAGGTCAAGACAATGTAGTAAATTACATTATTTCTATATATACATACATACTGAAAGGTGTTAAGTTATTGCATTTTAATAAAGAATTGCTTCAAATTTTTGTAGTTTTATTATGAAAAATTATCTATTTTCTTAATTAAATCTGTTACATTTCACTGAGGAGAAATTACAACACACCGTTTTGTGGTGATTTATACTGGAGTGAGATATGATCACAATTCAACAACTGAGATGAAAAAGCCAAATAAAACAACATGTTGATAGCTTTAATAAACGAAATTAGTAATAATTAGGTATGCAAGAATCACTCGAGTGTCCTCGTCAACAGGCATAAAACAGTAAACTTATAAATAAGTTCTTTACACATAAGAATCACTTGAGACAGCGGTCGAAATAAGTACTGCCAACATACCCTCCACGCATCGCCTTCTGGACGTTCTGCTCAAACAGCCTCCTGTTGGTCGTGAGCACTTCGGCCGCTTCCTTGTTGAGCGGGTCTTCCGGGTTGGGCTCGAGAAACAAATACTGCAATCCATAGACGATACTGTTGATGGTCAGTACGGGTTTCCAGTCCTCCCTTAAAATGTTCAAACACACGTTGCCTTGTTGGTCGATGTTGGGGTGGTACACCTGCGTCTCGCACTTGACTTTGGGCGGCTCGTGCGGGTAGTTGGGGCCCACTTTGAAACTGAATACGAATCTGCCGGTCTTGTAGAAGCCCTAAACGCCCCCGGATTAGCCACAAACCCCCACACTAAGCGACAACTAACCTCGTCCGGACAAATCACCAGTTTGAAAGAGAGCAAGTCGTCCGGATCGGGAAACTCGGTCGTGCAGGTCTTGGGCAGGTTCAGCTCGTTGATATCTGCAATAGGGGGGTCAAATGGGGGCGCACGGAGACTTAACGCACCTTTCGTAATCCTCAACTGGGCTGCAGAGGCTTTCTTTTGATTTCCTGGTCGCGGTGAGGCTTCTCCATCTTTTTTCTGCTGCTTTAACGAGAATAGTTTTATCATATTTATCTAGCGCGGGGGGTGGTGAGGGTTGAGAGCAACGTAATCGGAGATTTACTGTTATCACAATTTACAAAAACATGGGAAAGTGAAGTTTATTCAACAACTTTTTTGTATAGAATTTTTCGCACATCTGTCAATGTCAAAACTGTCAACGGGACTGAGTCGGACCTACAGGAATTTACTTTACCAACGGCACTAAATTTTTAAATCATAAAGCAGTTCAAAATGCCCAACTAGCCTTATTTTGCAAAAATTTATTTTTTTAAGTTTTTTTATCAAAAAAATTGTATTCCTCCTACCTATTATATTAAAATCTACTTTGTGTTTATTTTTGTTGTTTCACTCTAATTTTAGCCAAAAAGAATAATAATATTGTGCAATTTTTCTTGCATATCATTTATCAATCATTTGCTAATAATTTTATTATGTCAGTTCCTGTTAAAGATTACCAGTCACTGTGTATATTTTTTGATAATCTATCATTGTAATTATTATTGCAAATGAGACTGAGTAAAAGTATTATTTTTCTCTACACTATTATGAGTATGACTAGCAAAAAAATATTTGGGTGTAGTAAATGTAAATCATGATGAGTTTGCATAAAACAGTTTTTTTGTAGTCTTTTTGACCTTCAAAATAAATTAAAAACTCAATCATATCTCTTTATTATTACGCTCAAATCTTTAACTTGTTTGTAATCAATTTTTTCCAGAAGAATTATTACATAGTGGCATAAACAACGTTAAACACCACATAACGACTTCCTCATAATTACGATCTCTACAACGTTATTATTCATCAAGGTTGATTCCCACCGGAGATTGGGTTGAAACGAATGAGTCAACAATAGAGCAATTTATGTAACAGCTAAATTCGATAAAAAAACAAAACATTTCAAAAGTAATAATTTTATTTTTTATAATTTCTGAACAGAATAAATAATAGAGTTTTTAGAAATCAGTCTTGGGTCGCACTTCAATCCATTTCTTGATCGCTGGTAAAGAATTAACTCTTTCTCTGGCGGCCTTCAATTCCGGATAATTAGCAATAGTGTCAATTCCCGTGACCACATCGAAAACTTGCGAAACCGTCGCCCAATAAAAATCGGCCCAAGTGAGCTAAAAATTCAAATTAAAAAATTTCAACCAATTTAACGCAATTTCATACCCGTCCGAGTGCCAGATAGCCTTTATTCTTCTTGACGATTTCCTCCAAACGAGGCAAATAGTAGGGCAAAGTGTCCTTTTTGATATTCTCAATGATGACTTTCTTCTTTGCCTCATCTTGCTCGTAGAACCAAGCCGCATGTTCTAGAAATTTTTATTTTAAACAAGTTTGTAAAAAAATATGTTTAGTAGTTACTTAGGCGCAGATCGTTGATGGTGTCGACGATAGCGTCGATTTCGAGATTTTCCCAATCGTCATTTCCCACCAACTTGACTTGTTTGGCCAAATACCGGGCGATTGCGATGCTCTGGCCCACAACTTTGCCTTTGTGCTCCAAAACGGGCACTTGGCCAAACGGGAATTCTGTAAAGTTAAAACTAGAGAAGGTTTTTACATTTGAGTAAAAAATTACTTGGTTTCCATTGGGGCCACTCTTCTCTTTTGATCCGGCAGTCTTCAAAATCAATTCCGCCGTATTTCATGAGGTACCGGGAGGTTTCAGCAAGACCTCTTCCATCGAAATAAGTCAGTTTGTAAGCCGGTGCCATTGTTTCAGACCTTCACTTTCACTGGTTCAAGAGCAACTAACTGATGAGGAGTGGAGAGGTGGTTTTTATACCCACCCACCAGGCGTTATCTCTTACTTATTTTATAATGTGTTATATGTGTTTGTGTTGTTATTTTTCTAGAATGTATGGAACTAAAAGGATTACAGTAAAGTCATTTACCTCTTCAATACTTCAATGTTATCAAAGTTGGAAAATTACATCAGTTACGACTTTTTATTATGGAGAAAAGACATTTCTCGAACTCTTGTAACAGTGGAAAATTTTTTCACACCTCTGTTGTATTAATTCGTTAACGATTAAAATAATATTTATTTTTTGTTTTATGGTTTTGTGTAAATATTAACAAATTTTTCTTAGATGTGTAGTGTGATGAATGATGTTTCCTCCAGTTGAACGTTTCGACCTTGCACCATTTATTTAAGATATTTTATTTAAATTGCGTTTGATTGTAATTGATGCATTTTATTAACTTTATTTGAAATGAAATATGAGCCAAATATTTTTCGTAAAAATTTTAATTTTAGAATTAGGCGGGGTAATTCCAAATGTACAAAAGCTAGATGATATTCCAAGAAACTAAAAAAATGTGAAATCTGAAATATGGCAACCTTGAGCGAAATAGCGATCCCGCTTTTTTTTTAGACAACTAACAGTTAATAACATCATGACAATTTGTTAAGTTGAAGAAATTATACTTAAAATGTTTGTTTCAAAGTCTTTTGATGCTGCATTTGCAGCGGACCTGTAGACATTTATGCTTATGTCTATCAGAAAATCATTGACTTATGTTTATGGGAACTTTATTGAATGGTTACAATAATTATTACCCTCTATTTTTCAATAAGTTATTGTAAAATAACTTTGCCGTTCAATTTGGATAGAAAACTATAGGCATAATTATAGCTTGTTTTTTGGTAACAAATATGTATAAAAAATATACATAAAACAAGAAATATTCTAATTTGAAAACATTGTTACTGTCAAGATGCGAGAAGAGTGATGCTTCTTTTTACACACAAAGTTTTTACCACTTTTTTCAAGAAATTTTCTGTTATTTACACTAAAAATATATATCTTTGTACAGTAAATGATTGATTTATTTTTTATTCCTGACCTGACCTAACCTGATAAAAGATTGCTTGAATAGCCTTCAGTAACGAATGTTTTTAATTTTTTTTTAGTCTAGTTTGCGCTTTTTCTTTAAAGAAAAAAAAATTGAAGGAAATTTATGAAGACGTTGGACAATTCTACTTTTAAAATAAGATTTGTTATGTTTGTCAGCGAAAATTCCGGAATTTCTTCTTCTTCTTCTTCTTCTTTCTCCCTGTGGGAATAGCCTATCTCCATCCAAGGATATGTGCAGCTAGGCTTCCGGAAATGGGTAAATGGGTAGTAAGTAAGTTTATTGAAAGCAATTCACTTCCAACGGCATTTTCACCAACATTAAAAACATAGAATACACTAGCCCAGATAACGGACTATGAGAAGATGTTAACACACTCAAACGAGTTTGTTAATAGCCTTGTTAAAGACACAAAATAGTAAAACTCTTTTTGGAACCATCATAAAATATCGAAGTAAAATGTGAACAAGTTAGTTTATTCAATGAACAATGTTTTATTACTTCATAAAGAACTTGAAAATGGAGATTGAATGACTGAAAGTAGGTACCTACACCTTGTGCCATTTCAATCGCCACACTGGCAAAATCGCAACTGTGTTTTTTTAGGTAATTGATTTCTGTGTAATAGAAGAATCTGTGTAACAAATGAACACTATTGACAAATTTTGAGCCAGAAGGTTCCACCATTTCATACAGAAAAAACATTGCGAAAAGTGGCAGAATAGAGATTGAAATGGCATGATGGATAAACAACCGCCTGGTCGCCGCACATACATACATCATGTATACTGGAAATTATTACAATGTGAAAAATTTGAAATTTTTCTGATTACATTATCATAAGTAAAGTTGATAACGTTATAACAAAACAACGTTGTTGCAACGATGTAAGAATCATTCTTGCACAATATTGAGTCAGATTTTTTTATTTGCAGAGATTATTTATTTAGTTTATTTATTTAGAGAAATCTTGTATTTTTAGATGTTTTTTGATTTTTTTTTAACAAAATTCAGGCAATTTTAGATACTTATTATTTTATAAACAAGTCAAAACTGTAACAAAATAGTCCGTAAAGTACTTTACACAAAATAGTCTCTACGATGAATTAAAATTAAAAGTAGATAAGCTATCTGGTTTTATAAAATAGCATTGTTAGAAAAAAAACTCACTTTTTTCTAGTTTTAATTTAACCTGTTACCATCTCTATGGAACTAAATCTACTGGCAAAGAAGATCCCACCCTTCCCAAACTAGCTATAGTTTGTCTAAAAATATAGCGATTTTAGAATTTTCACGTATGGTACTTAACACTTTATGAGGCAGTGTTGTTAAAATTTTGAGCTACCGACTGACGGAAAGTTTGGGGTTTTCTAATATGAACCGTATAGTTGGTACCAACAATATTTGAGACTCATTATAGAATAAGACGATTACCCCCCACGGTGGTTCATGGGGCTTGAGATGCCATAAACTAATTTGCATTTCTTAGGACAGGTACGTTTCAAAGGTTTGTAGGAAGAGATGGTCCGTAACAGAAATTTGTTTTTGGGGTTTCATCAAAAAAAAAAATAAATTAATTTTAATATTCAGCTATATTTTGAGATTGTTTCTTTACAAATCTGCATTATAACTTTAATAATAAATTAATATATAAATTCCCAAATGTTTGCCTGTAATAAATTAAAAGCTTACCACGAAAATTCCTGAATACGGCTCTTTTGTAAATCTTCAGGGTAGTACCACCAGCAGTGAAAAATTATTACGGCCGACCGCAAGGCTGCTTAACCCTCAATAAAGCTTTGCATATCAATGTCAAATATTCCTGGTGACGACTATACTTTAAATTTTGTGTTTGTAATAAGTATATCTATCTATTGTGATGGTAACCATCTCTACCATAAACAACTAAAAAAGTTAAATACCCCTAAAGACCATAAAATCGCTATATCTTTAGACTAACTTTACATGATACGACCTTATTTTCGGTTTCGGAAGATCTTTGTTGTAAGTTGGGAACGGGACTAGTAATTAAATAAAAAACTATTGGTTTAAACACAATTTTATTTATATAGTTGTAATTTTTATCAAATGAGAGTTTTTGACCTAAAAATTCTGTTATTTCAAAAAACTAATAAAATAACAATAATAATAAAAATTATACAAGACAACAAAACTAAATGATTCAGGATTTTATGTACTTACCTAATTACTTTAAAATGCACGATTTAATTTTAACGAAAAGTAAATGGTTTTAAGCAAAAAACGCTTAGTTCCTTATACTGTTTGTTCAGTTGGTGTGTATTTACTTTTGAAAATATCTGAACAGAATAAATAAATGATGCAGAGTTATTTGGGTCGTACTTCGATCCATTTCTTGATCGCTGGTAAAGAATTAACTCTTTCTCTCGCTGCCTTCAGTTCCGGATAATTAGCAAGAGCGTCAATCCCCGTGACCATGTCGAAAACTGGGGAGATTGTCGCCCAGTAAAAATCGGCCCAAGTGAGCTAAAAAATGCAAATTAAAAAATTTGAACCGATTTAATGCAATTTTTTACCCGTCCGAGTGCCAAATAGCCTTTATTCTTCTTGACGATTTCCTCCAAACGGGGTAAATAGTAAGGCAAATTATCTTTTTTGAAATTATCGACTATCACCTTCTTTTTCGCCTCGTCTTGCTCATACCACCAAGCCGCAAATTCTGGTTATATTTATTTTAGCAAGTTTGTAAAAAATAAGTTTAATAGTTACTTAAGCGCAGATCGTTGATGGTGTCGATGATAGCGTCGATTTCGAGATTTTCCCAATCGTCATTTCCCACCAACTTGACTTGTTTGGCCAAATACCGGGCGATTGCCATGCTTTGACACACGACTTTACCTTTGTGCTCCAAGACGGGCAATTGGCCGAACGGGAATTCTGTAAAATCAAACTTAAAGAAAATGTTTACATTTAAGTAAAAAATTACTTGGTTTCAGTTGGGGCCATTCTTCTAGTTTGAACCGACAGTCTTCAAAATCAATTCCGCCATATTTCATGAGGAAACGGGAGATTTCGGCAAGGCCTGTGTAGTCGAAATAAATCAATTTGTAAGCCGGTGCCATTTTTTCAGACTTTCCTTTTGCCTGGTTCAAGAACAACTAACAGAAACTAACTGATCAGAAATGGAGAGGTGGTTTTTATACCCCCCCACTAGGCGTTATCTAACATTTGTTTAATAGTAAGTTCAGTGACGGCTCGTCAGGGTCCGGACCAAAGAATTTGAGAAATGAAGGATCTTTGCAAGAATTAAACATTTTTTCTTAATATTTTTGGAAAAACTTTCTTAAAAAGTATAATTAAATGCTGTTTCTTTCAAAAGAATGTTTGACCTTGCACCATTTAAAATTTGTAAGTATCTCCCACTTGAATTTAAATTACATTTGATTGTAATTGATGCTCTATTGATGCATTAGTGTTTTTTCTATAGCATGATTCAAAAGTGTCGAGTCAACTCTCGAATGGTGATAGAAGATGACTTTTATCTAAGCAAAAAAATGAATTCAGATTTTTTTCAAGCCTTTTTTGAGAAAAAAAATAACAGTCTATTTTCATATTATCACGTAGGAATTTTTTCGATGTTGTTGAAATTTGCTAGTTTGTTAAATTAGTTAATTAATACACAAATTGATGATTTTTTTCAACATGTTTATGTTAATGTTGCAAGATGTGCCGTTTCCGCTAACTAAATTCAAGAATACATGATTTGAACGGCCAAAATCTAACCTTTGATATCTCGTGAAAAAAAACTCAAACAATTTTTTTATCATGAAAACTTTTAACTCAGTTGGATGTCCTTTATCACCACCCAAGGGTTAGTCCGAGACTTTGAAATCACTCTGTATTTTGATGTAACAATGAGCATGAAAATGAAAACAGTTTCACAAAATGTAACCTTGTAACATTGTTTTTGGCAACATTTATGTAATAACTTTTGTCATCAAATTTAATTCAAAAAACGCCCAATGGAAAAAAATTGTATGAAACACACGTGTTACAATCTCTCATTAGGATATTCATGCATTGTAACACTCGTGTCACAAAGAGAGTGTTTGTAACACTTGTTTTTAATATACTATTTTTTTATATTGATTTTTGAGGTAATTTTATTAATACAAATTGAATTTCCAGCTTTTTAATTATCCACATTTTAAATTTCATGAAAATCCGTTGGCAAATAGCAGAGATGTTAGACCCGAAAGTCTTACGTGGAACACCCTGTGTATGTAAATTGAAAATGACAACACAAAACGGTAAGGCAATATTTATTTAGCTGCAAAAAAAGCCCCGCCTTATTGAAACTACATAAAACGACCTTTTCTTTCAAAACAGGAAGATTTCACAACATTTCGAAATATAACTAAAATTAATTAAAAACATCAGTTCAAAGACAATTTTATTTATACATTTTTTATTTATACATTGTATTTTTATTTTATTTATAGATAGTTGTAATTTTCATTAGATAAGAGACACAAAAAGTTGTGGGTTGTAGCAGGTTTAAAAAAAACACCAAAAACAATCAAATTTTAAGATTTTATGTTGGTGCCTAACTGCCTATTTTAAAATGCACTAATTGATTTCATGAAAAGTAAAGCAAAATACCTTAGTTCTTTTTGTTACTTGGTGTGTAACCTAATAATGTAACAGCTGAAAAAATATTTTTATTATTTAATATTTAATTTGAAAAGTAATAGATACATTTTTTATTTTTGTTAATTTCTAAACAGAATAAATGATAGAATTATTAGAAGTCAGTTATGGGTCGCACTTCAATCCATTTTTTAAGCACTGTGAAAGGATTAACTCTATATTTTGAAGCTTGTAACTCCGGATAATTAGCAATAAGAGTGTCAATCCCTGTGACCTCATCAAAAACTGGGGCGATTGTCGCACAGTAAAAATTGGCCCAAGTGAGCTAAAAATTCAAATTAAAAAAAATGCACCAGTTTATCGCTATTTTTTATTCGTGGGAGTGCCAAATAGCCTTTATTCTTCTTAACGATTTCCTCCAAACGAGGCAAAAAGTAGGGCTAAGTGTCCTTTTTCATATTCTCGACGATGACCTTTTTTTTTGGCTTCGTCTGGCTCAGAGAACCAAGGAATATGTTCTAGAACTATTTATTTATTTATTAATCTATTCTATTTCTTCTATATTTTTAAATTTTTTTCGATTACATTATCAGTTGATCGTAAACAAAACAAGAATACATTGTTGGGCAATATTTGGTAAGGGTTTTTTATTTAGAGATTATTTACCGAATCGATACTTCAATAAAAAATAATTTTCAATTTCTAAATGTCTGATTTCTCGAGAAGAGAAATGCAATGATTCAAGCAATTCTTATCTACTGATTAAAAATGACAACGCAAAATTGCGATGAATTATTTATTTAACACATTTTAAAATCATTGAATCCTAGGCTGATTCTCTAGACACTTTTTGATACCAGGATTCTCCAAAACTTTGGTTTTCAGTAGTTCAGTTCTGCCAATGTTTTGTATTCCTTTATTTTATCAATTTCAGAACTCGCGCTCCAGATTAATGCCATATACGGGAAGATACTAGAAACATGGAAAAAGATGTTAAAAAAATTTTATCTATAAAAATTTCGAAGTTATGACTATTTATTTCTGTTCAAAAAATAATTTTCCAATTTTTTTTGCTATAGACTATTAGAAGAGGAAAGAAGGAAGCAGTATCCTAAATTGTAACTCAGTTTAATGTTATTTGTGTCTTTTATTGTCTAAATCTTACAATTAAAATTAAATTACAATTGAATAATTGTATAAAAACATATACAAGATCATTAGTATCATTAAATAGGCATAAAAAAATGTCAAATGTCAAAAAATAAATGGCAAAATTTTTTGACAGATAAATTTTTTTAAACATTTTTTTCCATGTTCCTGGTATCTTAACTTACTTGAAATTTTTTTTCTAAGATGTGAGTTCTGGCGCACCCTGTATAGGAATCACCTATAATAACGACAATATTTTTGGATCATAAAAAAGTGAATGTCTATTGTCAAAAAAAACGCATTTCCTCATCTTCTTTATTGTCGGAGTAATCGGAGAAACACAGAGCTCTGGGACACTCTGTATATTTTATTTTATTTTTTGTAATACTTAATAGAAACTAGAAGTAATATTAATGCCCCTTCTAACGAATCCACTCGTTACGCTTATGGCCAAACTCTACTTGTCAGATCGTGATGACTTAACGCAACATGTTGTATATGAATCTTTACGGCGTCAGAACGGTGTAAGAATCATTGTTGCGCAATATTTTTCAGATTTTTTTCAATTGGATAGGACCTAAATTAGGCAATTTTTATCTGTATTACCTTATAAACAAGACAAAACTGTACCGGAATATTAATTTTTATTTATCTGTAATTGTCCGTAAAACAGAATTATACATATAAATAATGCAGAGTTATTATGAATCATCCTTGGGTCGCACTTCAATCCATTTCTTGATGGCTGGCAAAGAATTAACTCTTTCTCTTAGGGCCTTTAGTTCCGGATAATTAGCAAGAGTGTCAATCCCTGTGATCTCATCGAAAATTTCGGCGATTGTCGCCCAGTAAAAATCAGCCCAAGTAAGCTAAAAATTCAATTTAAGAAATTTGAACCAGTTTAACGCAAAGTCTTACCCGTCCAAGTGCCAAGTAGCCTTTATTCTTCTTGACGATTTCTTCCAAACGGGGTAAATAATAGGGCAAATTATCTTTCTTGATATTCTCAACAATCACATTCTTTTTTGCTTCGTCTTCCTCGTACCACCAAGGCCAAAATTCTGGTTAGTTTTATTTTAGACAAGTTTGTAAAAAAAATAGTTTAGTTACTTAGGCGCAGATCGTTGATGGTGTCGACGATAGCGTCAATTTCGAGATTTTCCCAATCGTCATTTCCCACCAACTTGACTTGTTTGGCCAAATACCGGGCGATTGCGATGCTCTGGCCCACAACTTTGCCTTTGTGCTCCAAAACGGGCACTTCGCCAAATGAAAATTCTATAAAATTAAACCTAGAGATCTAAGTTACATTTGAGTAAAAAATTACTTGGTTTCAATTGGGGCCATTCTTCTGTTTTGAACCGGCAGTCTTCAAAATCAATTCCGCCATATTTCATGAGGAAACGGGAGATTTCAGCAAGGCCCGTGTAGTTGAAATAAATTAATTTGTAAGCCGGTGCCATTTTTTCACAGATATTCGCATCTACTTGTTCAAACACAACTAACTGATCACAGAGATGCAGAGTTTTTATATCCAGCTACTAGGTTATCAAGCATTCATTTAATGTTGTTTAATAATGAGATCAGTGACGGCTCGTCAGAGAATTAAACATTTTTACTTATCATTTTTAAGAAAAAAAAAATATTTTTATGAAAAATGTTTTTTTCAGACAGGAATGTTTGACCTTGCATTATTTAAAATATCACCCACTTGAATTTAAATTACATTTGATTATAGTTGATACTCTATTTATTAGTTTTTTCTTTGTAATTATGTAATAACTAACAAAATTTATTTACTTTATCAATAAAAACCTGCTGGAAATTATTATGTTTTCTATTCTATTCCTTCTACATTTTTAAAATTTTTTCGATTACATTATCAGTTGATCGTAAACAAAACAAGAATTAATTTTTGGGCAATATTTTGTAAGGGTAAGGAAGAGAAATACAATGATTCAAGCAATTCTTATCTACAGATTAAAAATGACAACGCAAAATTGCAGTGAATTATTTATTTAACACATTTTAAAATCATTGAATCCTAGGTTGATTCTCTAGCCACTTTTTGATACCAGGACTCTCCAAAACTTTGGTCCTCAGTTCTGCCAATGTTTTGTATTACTTTATTATATCAATTTCGGTAAAATGTTTTAAACCTCGTAGTCCTACCACAAAGTATAAAAGACAATTTTATTTATACATTTTTTATTTATTCATTGTATTATTATTTTATTTATATTATTATTTATAGAGAGTTGTAATTTTCATCAGATAAGAGACAAAAAAAGTTGTGGGTTGTAGCAGGTTTAAAAAAAAACACCAAAAACTATCAAATTTTAAGATTTTATGTAGGTGCCTAACTGCCTATTTTAAAATGCACTCACTAATTGATTTCATGAAAAGTAAAGCAAAATACCTTAGTTCTTTTTGTTACTTGGTGTGTAACCTAATAATATAACAGCTGAAAAAATATTTTTATTATTTAATATTTAATTTGAAAAGTAATAGATACATTTTTTATTTTTGTTAATTTCTAAACAGAATTATTAGAAGTCAGTTATGGGTCGCACTTCAATCCATTTTTTAAGCACTGTGAAAGGATTAACTCTATATTTTGCAGCTTGTAACTCCGGATAATTAGCAATAAGAGTGTCAATCCCTGTGACCTCATCAAAAACTGGGGCGATTGTCGCCCAGTAAAAATTGGCCCAAGTGAGCTAAAAATTCAAATTAAAAAAAATGCACCAGTTTATCGCTATTTTTTATTCGTGGGAGTGGCAAATAGCCTTTATTCTGTTTAATGATTTCTTCCAAACGAAGCAAATAGTAGGGCAAAGTGTCCTTTTTCATATTCTCGACGATGACCTTTTTTTTTGCTTCGTCTGGCTCAGAGAACCAAGGAATATGTTCTAGAAATATTAATTTTAATCTATTCTATTTCTTCTAAGTATATTTAATTTTTTTCGATTACATTATCAGTTGATCGTAAACAAAACAAGAATACATTGTTGGGTAATATTTTGTAAGGGTTTTTTATTTAGAGATTATTTACCGAATCGATACTTCGAGAAGAGAAATTCAAGCAATTCTTATCTACAGATTAAAAATGACAACGCAAAATTGCAATGAATTCTTTATTTAACACATCTGAAAATCATTGAATCCTAGGCTGATTCTCTAGCCACTTTTTGATTCCAGGACTCTCCAAAACTTTGGTCCTCAGTTCTGCCAATGTTTTGTATTCCTTTATTATATCAATTTCGGTAAAATGTTTTAAACTTGGTAGTCCTGCCACAAAGTATAAATCTGCCCAAGTCAGCTACAATTAATGAACTTAAAAAATGTCTACAAAAATGAAAAAATAAATTACTCTTCCTACGGCTAGATAACCGTTATTTTTTTTAGCTGCAACTTCAAAACGGGTCAGAAAATATGGAAGTGTTTCTTTAAAAAGTTGTTCTTTCAAAACTTTCTTTTTTTCGTCATGAGTCTCAAAACGAAGTGGATGGAATTCTGAAAAAAATATCATTTTTTATTTTTGAGTCCTCAAAATGAGACTTTTGCAGACTTATGTAAAATAGTTAATTTGGGTACTAGTACCTAAAATACAATTTTTACGCACGAAAAAAAAACAGTCTGGTTACTATGGTGGCATAATCCTTAAAATTCGAAGCTCACCCTTTTCGAGAAATTTGATCTGCTGACATTAATCATAATTCATAAATAATAAGAAAGGTGAATGTTTTTGGAGGCTTCACAAAAAATGTTGTTTGTAACCTAAAATGTTTTTGCGGACTCATCTGCTATTATAGCAAGGATTCGTCTACAAAAACTACATATATTTTAGGTACTTAACAAAAATCACTATTTTGTTTTTTATGTTATTTAAATAAATAAATACTTGAAGCACAGTCTCTGATTGAGTCCACAATTGCATCAATCTCTAAATTTTCCCAGTCATCGTTTCCTGCAAGTTTCACCTGTTTAGCCACGTATCTCATAATTGCCACACTTTGATGGCTTTTTTTGCCTTCATGTTCTAACATAGGAAGAAAACCAAAGGGCGTTTCTAGAAAAGAAAAGTGAAAACTAAAGTGTGAAATAATGAGATTTGTTACAAACGGTCTTTAAATGCAGGCCAGTCTTCATGCAAAATTCGTACATCTTCGAATTCAACTCCTGCATAACTAAAGAGAAAACGAATTGATTCTGCCCGACCTTGGGTGGGAAAATAGGTCAATTTATACGAAGAGGCCATATGTGTTAAACTTATTATTCGCTTGATGATACGTGTTTTGAGTACTAGTGAATCACTGCTCAAGGATACATTTAATAATACGTACACCTAGATTTATCTTTTAAAAATTGAGATACGCAAAATAAATAAACAGAGGAATATTTTATTTTTAAATATTTCGTTTTCAATGTGAAAACTAAAATATGAATGAACAAAGATAATAAGAGTAATAAAAAGTAAACATATTAATTTTACAACCGGTAATGCCAGCAGCAGGTGATTTGCTATCGATTGTTCCACTAACCAATGAAAATAAAGCGGAAGAATTCAAAACTCTTACGTCTCACTACTACGTGTCGGCGCGCTGTAGATACATATACAAGTAGCAAACTTCGTCATTCGTACTCGCTTCGGCGGTACATATACTAAAATTGGAACGATACAGAGAAGATTAGCATGGCCCCTGCGCAAGGATGACACGCAAAATCGTGAAGCGTTCCACATTTTTTGAACTTTCTTGTGACTGTCAGTTTTGATTAATTATTTATTTATTTTTATCTGTTACTAAAACGTGATAGCTCCAACTCTCTCAACCCATCTAAAAATTAATTTAACTTACTCTCTCGCAGTAGCAATTTTACTAAAAGTGAAAAACGGCAAAATGCGGAGAGTAAGCAAAGATAGAAAACGAAAATTTAATCAAAAAATTGTAATTCCCCTAATGAATGAAGGCAAATCTGAGTTACCAATTTCGAAACATTTTTGAATGAAACTAAAGTCTAAAGTGATTGGTTTCTCCATGGTTACTTACACATAATGATGGCCGACCTTAAGCGGACCAATCACATCGTTGCATTAATTTTTGAATGAATCCAAAAATATAAAGTGATTGGTTTTTACATTAAAATGATGGCCGACGTTCAACTGCTCAATCACAAATTTTACAACAATCTTTACGTTAATTTCGAGGTTAAAGAAGCTTGAAACAAAAATTGGGGTATTTTTTTCTAATAGTGCATAAAACTTAAACCTTGAAATAAAAACTTTTACCTACCTTCTTTGAAATTTCAAAAAAATCTTATGAATTAAGATCTTGAAACAAAAAAAAAACAAAATTACCTAAAATCTTTAGTAGTTTTTCCACATCAAGCGATATGCAAATGGACAGAAATTAAAGTGTTTTGAAAAAATTGCTTGAATATTATTAATGAATATATTAATTTTTTGAACAGTAGAGAAATTATGTTCTGAGAAGCAACTTCAAATAGTTCAATACATATATTACGAGAAAAAAAATCTTGAAACAATAAACAAAAAGTCTATATACAAGTCTTCTTTAAACCATATTTCATCAAGTTTTAATAGAATATTACAAAAAAAATTAAAAAATAAGATTATAAAAACAGAGTTGAATTTCTAAATATTGAAAAAATGTGTGAATTTGAAACTAAAATTTGAAAACGTGTTTTTATAAATTATTTAAATTATTAAATTGTAAAACATACATTGTTGAATAAAATGTACTAATGTGTCATTTATTAATTTATTTGTTATGTATGTTATAGATAATACAGTGTGATTGAAATAGAACTTTTAGTTTAGGCAACCAGTATTACAACAACATTTTTTTTTAATAGAAGCGTAGTTCAGTAAATTGTAAAAAGTATGTTGAAATAAACCGAAATTTTTTATTTATTCATTTATTTGTTTCGTTTTATGCACTTTTTGAGTCTTTAGCACCTCTAGAAATGTAAAAAACGTTTTAGAGTAAAAATTTTTCGGTTTACCGTTGGAAAGAAAATCTCATTTTCCATCATATACAAATTCAAAATTGTAGAATTTTAAACGCGTTTTTTTACGAAACTATAAGATTTAGAGCAAAAAACTAAAAACCATTAAAACTCTCTTAAAATTATTTGTTAAGTGGCGCAAATCGGAAGTCGCTCCGGATTATGGTTCCGGGTACAGAACCATTTTTGGTTTTTTTTTGATAAAAAAATTATATCTCAAAAACTATGAGTTCTAGGTCGAAACGGTTTGTACAGGCGTATTCTCCGGTTAATTTTACATTTGGTACTATTTTTTTTATTAGAATCAAAAAATTTTGATTTTTTGGGCAAAATCGGATGCTTCTATCCCTATTCTTAACTATATTACTCAATAATATCTCAAAAACTATGCATCGTAGAGTATAAATTAACTATTTAGCGTTTACGCGTACGACTTCAAAAACATAATTTTTTTCTGTGTCTAAAATAAAAACAAAAAAATCTTCTGAATTTTGTTAACAAAATAATAAAAAATTATTTGTAGTTCTTATAAAATACCTCATAGAGAAAATAAGTTTAGAGATCGATACTCGAAATTACACTATTAAATTTATTTATAATTTATTGTTTTAATTTGTATTTATTATGTTTATAATACCCAGTGCTGTTAATATCTTTATATTTTTGATTAATAGGAGTAATAAATTACTACTATATTATTTTATCATTCTTTAATTCAATTTGTATAAAGAGTTGCCTACATCAACAATTACAACGTACCATAAAATAAATTGAATACATTTTTTAAACGGATGATTATGATTAATGAATCTCAACAACTCTGTTTACACTCTTCGCAAAAACGCTTTATCATAATTTTCATCAGCATGTTAAATTGTGTGATACATTGTTGTAATCAGAAACAAAAAGACTTTTCAAAGATACAGAAATGGAATATGGCAGTCATAAGAAAATCCAAAGTTGAGTGTAACTCTGATATCAAGAACACCTTGAAAGCTACAATGACAGATTTAAATTCTTTGTAAAAAAAGTCCTTTAAGAACGTCTTAGTTAAAAACGTCTAGGTCTTTTAATTTTCACTTGAAAAAATAAAAACGAAAATTACAAATTTGCGTTTTTATCCTAATAATTCAAAAATTAAAAACGACACTTTAAATTGTCTTTCAGATAATTGTTTAGTATAAAAAGCGCAACTTTGCCCGACCTCGTATCTCTTATAATAACCGAGATCCCCATGGTGGAGCTCGAAAAACGAACACTTTGTGTATAACGTTTTCTGTTGTAATAAATTTAAAATTTGGTTGTCAAAAGGTTTAAATTGTTAAAACTGTCAAAAATCCGGGCGTTAAAACCTATTAACAGCTCTTTGTGTTATTGTTGAATTCAATAACCACACCGTACACCAACCAAACATATACTTTAAAAAATAAATACACAACGTAATGCTCAAAGTATTTATTCATAGCCACTTTATACAAAACCGAAGATATTTCTACACTTTATTGTGCTGTTTTTCATGTCCTTTATTTTTCTCTTTATTTTTAAGTTGTTTATCATGACCTAAAAATTACAAATTAGTTTACACTTACAGATAATTGTCTTACCTTTGCCATGATGTTCCTTATTCTGTGCTACAGGCCCTGGCCCTTTAACTGAATGCGATTTTCCTGACCCTCCAACTTGAATTCCACCCGCAAATCCTCCATTGGCACTCCCCCTAAAACCCCCATTTCCTCCTCCACCACTGGCTCCAATATTCTCACTTGCTCCTCCACTAATACCTCCATTTACTCCCCCACTGCCTCCTCCGTTTCCGGTCGTTTGTCCGCCTCCGGTAGCACCACCATCGGTGCTTCCACTTCCGCTTCCGCTACCACTTCCGGAACCATTTCCTTCGGAAGACGCTGATCCTCCACCTTGCGATTGCGAAGCCCCTTTTCCGCTTTCCGCCGATCCTTCTCCACTTCCAGAACCAGAACCAGATGCAGAACCGTTTCCTTCCGACGATGCACTTCCGGTTCCGTTTCCTGCGCCGTGTGCGTGCGTACTTCCATCACCTCCACTTTCTGCAGATCCTTCACCATTTCCGGAACCACTTCCTTCCGCATGGCCGCTTCCGCTAGAACTGGCGTTTCCGCTTCCGGATCCTGAACCTCCACCACTAACAGTGGCTTTGTCATCACTTCCGCTTGAACCGGAAATGCCTCCTTTAATCGTAGCAATAAAGATTTCTCTTATTTGGATTAAGATTTTGCTGCAACCACTTCGGGAAAGAACAACTTGGATGTCTAGACTAGCGTGGACTTTCAAACAACGAGAAATGCTAACATAAATGTCACCAATGACCGGAAGGCGGCGCAAAATCCGTACCAAATTGCCAGGAAGGAGGTCTCTGACGTTGACTTTGCGAAGAATTTGCGCCAGAATATTAGTTGAAGGATCATTATCAATTTTTATGGTAGGTATCAAAATTACAATAAGTGCGACCCCAGATCGCGAAGTCAAGAGCCGAATCAACTCTAAAAGAAGAACGGAAACACAAATTTCAATCGCGACAATTTTCATAATCAGAACAAAAATTCGAATAATTTGATCAAGAGGAACCGAAGAATCATTAACTTCGATTAAAATTTTGATAATTTCCGACATGTTGACGTTGTTTTCCACCCATTTTTCCTCACGAATTTCATTCAAAACTTTAACCAAAGTCTTGAGAGTTTCGCTCAAATGAAGTTGAGCGAATACTTTGATCAGAAGTTCGATACTCGCCTTCCATTCTTCGCCCAAATTGTGATCACGAGAGGAACTACCATAAAATTGAATTAAAGCAACAACCACTGCTTCGATGTTACTGTGCCCATGGACCAAAGCCACAATTTCTGACACTACTGTTACAAAACCGTCAAAACCCTCGGTCGAATTCCCTCCCAAACTTGCAAGAAGTGCAAAGAAACTTTCAGAAGAACTGAACGCACCTTCGAGAACTTCAGTCAGTTTGACTCCACTTGAATTCAATTGTATTAAAATGTACAAGAAAACATCGATAGAAGTACGGCTTTGTAGAATTACTTCGAGGTCGAGTTTCACGTGGTGTTTCACCAAAACTGAAACTCCACCTTTGAGTTGGCCAATAAGGACAGACAAGCCTTCCAAAACTCCAACAAGTAGTTTCAAATTCGTGCTAGCAGTGATAGTTGTACGTTCAACAAATACCAAAAGGAGTTTCAAAGACGATGATAAGCTTTTGGAAATTTTGATAAGAAGAGTGAGGGCTTCTTTACCTTCAACTGAATAACTGCCAGAACTTAGCAGGGACAAAGCGACACTAATTTGGAGCGAGATTTCAGCAGTGATGTTACTAGAAGTGAAACTTTGGCCGTTTTTCTTGCCTTGTTCGTAGAGGACTTTTAGCGATGTTAGACTTTCGAAGAAAGCTTCGAATTTCACGGATTGACTCCAAGCGAGATTGCCTCCAGAGATTAACACACCGGCGCCACCCTCGATGTCAATAACAATGACAGAGCTGCTAGAAGCGTTGAAAATCGCAACAAGACTAGAGTTGACATCCACAACAAGGGCTAATTCTGCTGTTACATTTACAACAGCAACCAAATTGGCACTCGCATTGACGAAAATTTCCAACTGGCACGTGCTGTTACTCTCTAAATAAAAATATAAGTAGAGAAAGTAAAAAAATATTGATATTACCTGTTGATATACACTGGATGGAGCATTGTTCATCTTTTGGCTTGTTGTGTCTGCTATGTAAACGTGAGAGAAGAGGGGAATGGCGAGCGGATTGAGCCAGTTGATGTCGGTTTAAAAGCTCTTAAAATTAAAAATAAAACAGTTATTGAAAAAAGACAAATCTTACCATGGCCGAAAGTGCTGAGCAAAAGCGCACAAAGCACTAATCCTGTGGCTTGACGCTTCATTGCTGTTTGTTGAAGGATTAGGTTTTAGTCGTCTTTTTATAGGTGAAATATGTCGTCAATAATTTAAATACGAGTTATTTAAAATATTGTAAAGAAAAATATTTTATCGCAGTGTTACAAGGGAGTACCCAAATATTTGGAATGCATATACCTGGAATTTTTCAAGGAAAAAATGTGAGAAAGAATTTATTTTTTTACGTCAAAACTATTTTTTTTACAGTGTTTTCATACATTTTTACCTAAATCACATTCTGTTTAGTTTCATTTGACGATTGGTGATAATAAATACAAAAAATACAAACTTTTATTAAAAAATAACTTTAATTTCTATTTGAGGAACATTCAATGTGATTTATCAAACCAAAATTTCATATTTACTTACATACAAATATATTGTGGCTTGTCTTAAAGACTTCTTTTTGGTTTATTTAGAAATAATAAATCGTTCAAACATTATTGGAATTAAAATTTCAAAAATGTTTACAAATTCAATCCATTTCAGAAAACTTTTATTTTATTTATTACAAAATATTACATACCATGTGAATAAAAAGTATGGAACCAAATGTTTATTCCTTAAACTATTTATTTTTTTGGAAAAACTAATTGATGAATGAGTACCCGTACTATAAAAATGTCATGTTATATTAAAAATTAAATTCTTCAAGATTTTCTTTTGTTTTTAATTTATACATTTTTTTTTTATTTTTTTAGACGGCAACCCACTATAAAACCACTTTTCTCATGAAGGTTATGATTTAAGAATTACAACTACCGTTTTTATATTTAATTCTTTCATAAAATTTTGTTACATAAATTGCAATTTTGACAAAAAAAACGTAAAACTCAAAAACAAAATAAAATATCGTTTTCAAAATACGATCACAATTTTTATATTACTTTAATTTATATTAATTATTATTTTCTGGAAACAAATAATTAAAAAAAAAACGCTTGGTGCAATATTTTTTATATTCACCCTGTATAATTCATAAATAAACATTTTACAAAAATAAAAAAGGGGTGTTTATTTATTTTTTTATTTTATTTTTACTGTTATAAAAACATGTATCGTGTATTCAATTAAATTTCTAATCAAAGTGGACGTTTGTTATTTATTTCTTATTTTCTAAATACCAATCGAAACAAATTGAAGGAAAAAAATGGACCTCTGACGTATGTAAAGAGCAATAGTTACAGTATATTTAGGTATTGCAAGCCCTAAGCTCCAAATTTATTGTAAAAAAAAATTGTTCAAAAAGTTGGAGATTATTCAGGAAGATCATTATTTTAAACATTTTCAAATAAATTGATTGAATTAATGAAAAAAAAAATTGCAAAACGAAGTATAGATGTGTTATTTTCTTTTGATTGATTCTATTTCCTTTGATTTTTATTAAAAAGTTTTGCCTGGCTGTTTTGTTTGATTTAGAATAGAATCAGAAAATAGCATAAATTTTTTGTTTTTAGCTAAGATAAGATACCAGGATCATGAAAAAAATGTTTAAAAAATTCTATCTGTCAAAAAATTTTGACATTTATTTTTTGACATTTGACATTTTTTTATGACTATTTAATGATACTAATGATTTTCTATAAGTTTTCTTTACAATTATTTAGTAAAGGTACAAAAATTTTGCCAATAAAAATGACAAATAACAGAACAGAGTTACAATTTAGAATACAGCTTCCTTGTTTCCTCTTCTAATAGTCTGTAGCAAAAAAACTTGGAGAATGATTTTTCCTACAGAAATAAATCCAGTCAAAGTGCAAAATTTAAACTCTCATAACTCCTAAATTTTTATAGATAGAATTTTTTTAACATTTTTCCCATGTTCCTGGTATCTTACCTTATATGGCATTTTTCTCTGGGGCGCGAGTTCTGGCGCATCCTGTATTTACGTTATGTTATTGAAGTGTTGTTTGTAAATTTTACAATAATTTTGCCTTTCAGGAAGTGAAGTTACCAATATGATGTTTAAAGTTCTTCCAATTAAACAAAAATTTTGCTTTATTTAACTCCTTTTTTTAAAGATGCCACTCTAATTCTTTCTAACTCATTTATTTAAAATTTTCAACGATTTTGAAGCTTTAATGTAGAATGAAAAATTTTAATTCAAAAAACCAATTAAAAAAATACATACAATAACAAAATAAAAACTCTTCAGGTCACGTTTTTGATGTAATAAAACATTTCGAACCAAACGTTAGACAAGATAAAAATATGTGTGTTTTATGTAAAAGTTTCTGACTGTTTGTAATTTCATGTTTTTTTATAATTTTATTAATAAAATGTTAAAAGCACACTTTTGGTTGTTATTGTTTTTTGTTTTTGTACAGTCTATTTTTTTATTTGCAGGTAGGATTAGTGTGAATGAAGAACACGACATGACCTCCGTCGGTTTTTAACGTTTTTTCAGCTTCAGATATTTTGTACTGAAGTCAAAAATTAAAGCTTTTCCCTGGCATTAGGATTTTTATAGGGTTTGAATTATGTTTGTTATGATGATATAGACGTTATAAATACGAGTATTAGCCTCAAAACAGTTTTTCCTACAGTCGCAGACACGGAATTTCGGACATCAAATTTATGTCAGTTTAAAATTGTCAATGTAAACCACGCTTTATTGTCATTATGATTGACGTTTGAAACTAAAATTCAAAAGCTTAAGTTGTGGCTTAAGTTGAAATTTATTTTCGGCGTCGATGTTCCGAAACAATAATGCCAGCACAACGTGTTTTTATATAAGTTTAATAAATTATTTTCATTTATTGTCATTTTTTCTCTAGCTGTCAGGATAAAATTACAAAAACCGAAAGTGAGGTCGGTTGCATGAGGCTTGTTTTACATTTTTATGTCATTCGGATGACAAATCGTCCAAAATTCCGTGTCCTCCAGTGTATTAAAAAAAATTACAAATAATCTACGTGACGGTAAGGCGCACTTTTGACCTAAATCAATACTTTAAACGCATTTGTTAAAGTGAGTTAAATAGTGTGAGCGACCTTACATAAATAGGTGTGAGAGAGCAACAAGGCTGTTTACAAAATTTGAAAAGAGATAGATAGAATTTGTCGCATGTTAAATGAAAGATGTGTTAAATAAAAGGTATGTTAATTACTCCAAAAAATTATTGTTCTTGTTGAGAAGTTTCTAATGAAACACTCTGTATACTAAAAACTCCAAAAATATATTTATTCACGTTAATGTACGTAGAATTAAAAAGTTTATTCATTTATCATTTATTACATTGTTTATATTTTTCAGAGGAAATTATTGGCTTTTCTCCTTTCTCTTATCTTTTCCATGTCCTGAAACAGTAACAAATAAATAATGACAACATCTTACAAATAAATTACAAACCTTTTGAGTGATTTTTATGTTTGTGTCCTTTTCCGCCACTGTGACCAATTTTATGATGAGTGTTTTTTGCTAAATGTTTGTTTGAGTTATCATTTCCATGATCTTCAAAGTAATTTCTAAGTAAATTAATTAAGAAAAAACATAATAAATTATTTACCGTTATGACCCCCACTTGAAAACTTTCCTCCACTTTCATCGCGAATGGCCTTTATCAAAATCTTTCGTATCTCCAACAAAACATGTCTTGAAGCTTTTTCTCCAATGATATTATCCAACTCCAAGTGGGCTTCTTTTAGAGACTTTTTAAGTTCGGAATAAATTGTTTTAACTATTGGTATGTGTTTTAAAGCTTTCCCGATTTTATTTGAATTTTTGATGTCAATAGCACGCAAAATGCTTTGAAGAAACTCAACTCTTGATTTTTTCGTATCCAAGTTATTTTTAATTTGAGGTATTAGAGCTACAATTGTTATAAGTCCAGTTTTCGTGGTCAAAAGTCGCACAAATTCGATTATCAAGAAAGGAAGCGAGACATTAGTTGGAATAAGTTTTTGAAAAACTACAAGAATTTTTATAATTGAGTCAATGGGCGTAGAAGCACTGGTTAAAATTTTCACAATTGTGGATAAATTAACTTGATTTTCGATCCATTTTTCTTCACGAATTTCTTCGAGTAGTTTCACGACAACTTTTAGAGTTTCATTTAACTTAAGTTGGTTAACAGTGCGTGATAAGTTTTCAATTGCAGTTTGCCACTCTTGGGCAAAATTATGGCCATTTAAACTACCAAAAAATTGGATTAAAGCGACAACAACAGACTCGATGGAAGTTCGTTGAGTCAAAATGATTATTTTTGAAAGAATTGTTAAAATTCCGTTGATGCCACGTGTGGAATTGCCTCCCAATTTTGCAATTAGTGAAAAGAAGCTTTCAGGTGTGTCGAAACGATCTCTTAGAACTTCTTTCAAATCTAATTTACTCGGCTTTAGTTGTAGTAAAATATAAAGAAATACATCTATTGCTGTTTTAGAATTTACGATAATGTCTAGGTCGAGTTTGATTAGATGTTTTGTTAAAACAGAAATGCCGCCATTTAGATGTTTCACAAAACTGGCTAAACCGTTTATAATTCCAATTAACTCTTTTATTTCAAGGTCTGTATTAATGGCTTGGCTTTTTATAATTTCTGTAAGGCCTTCCAGAGACTTTAACAAATTTTTTGAAACATCCACAAGCACGTCTAAAGCTTCTTTTACTTGTATCGAATATTTGTCAGAAGTTAGAATTTTTAAAACAAAGGTTATTTGTATTGCAATTTCTTGTGTGATATTATTTGCAGAAAACTTATCTCCTTGATGTTTTCCTTGTTCGAATATAACTTTTAACGATGTTACAGTTTGAAAATATTGTTGGAAAGTTTCAGATTTATCCCATGTTGAATTCTGAGAAAATGCAATTCCAGTGCTTCGTTCAATATTAATTACTATCACGGAGTGTGAAAGCGCATTAAATAGACCAACTAAACCGGAATTTATATCCAAAATTAAAGCAACTTCAGTTTTTGTACTAGCTACGGCCACTAAATTAGTCGTTGTGTTGACAAAAATTTGCAAAGTCGAATTTCCGGAATCTAAAAGACATTATTAGAAAGATTATTATTTGTTTGAAATTTTTGGTTACCTGCTAGGCATTCGAGATGACATTCTTCTTTCGAGTCTTGTTTCCGATTTTTCACATGTGATAGTAAACGAAAAGGAGGTGTTTTTTGACGATTTAGTAGCTCTGCACATAGAAAATTAATAAAAGTTAATAAATAGATAAAAAATACCATGTCCAAAAGTGCTAAGTAACAGAGCACAGAACACCACCGAGGTTGCTTTTATTTGCTTCATTGTAGCTATTTGAGAGTTATGTATGTATTTGCTGACTTTATAGATAATGGAAAATGTTGAAAATGTCTAATGGAAAAATTTTAGTGTTTATCGCGTTGAAAAGTATTTTTTAAATTTTTGGGCAAAAGAAATTTCACAAATTGCCGAAGAACTCAATAATCTTGTGTGATAAAAATGATTTTAAATAATTTACATAAAAACTGAAACTACAAAATATTTACGTAAATATTTAAGAAGCTTTGTTACAGCTTTTAAGTGCTGGGTGTAACTGACAGCTTAACGGTTGTAAATTGTTGAATGTTATTAATTCCATAACAACACAGTACGACGAAATAGTTATTTACGTTTTCAACGAGGGAGTTGTTTCCGCCCATAGTCGATATGGCTCTTAACAGCACATGACACATACGTACAACGTTTCTCGTCGTACTAAATTATATTTTGCATGTTATTTAATATACATGTAAAAATAAAATAAAATTGTTATTGTTATAATTGTTATTGTTATTAATAGGTGTACCTAACCGAGAAATTTTTTTTTAAATAGTAATTAGAAATATTCAAAAAAATCAAAACAATTGCCTTTTTAATAT